ACTTTGAGGATGAAGATCACATGAACTATGTGGGTGAATTTTACTTCAAGGTAAATGAAACTTGCTTACATGGTGATCACAACATCTTCATGGTTGCTCCAAATGATCGCGATGCTCATAATCCAATTCTTATCCATCTTGATCCTTCTGATATGTCATGGAATGAACGACATCATTACAAACAGGCCTACAAGAAGAAGCAGTATGCTGATACAAGAAAGGAAAGACAGAAGGAGAAAAAAAGAAAGGCATATGAAGATCAAGCATCAACGTATCAGGGCAACGTTAGTTGGGGTGGATCCTCATCTTCAGCGTCCAGACCATGGAGATCAAGTGAGTGGCGATGAGTGAGTGTACACTTCTTTAATTGAAGATAACACAGCATGAGAAGCCGTGTACAGTTTTTCTCTGCGTTCAACTTATTTCACACAGATGGCATATACTCTTTTAGATAGAGATAATGCCACAAGTGTCTGAACTTCAATTTAATGTAAAATAGAGACTCTTGTAAATAGAGATACTATATACATTTATCTCCATGAATCATCCGGCGAGCAGACCACTCCGAATGGAGCGAACTTCAAAAATTTACCAACTTCGATTTCAGTCCATTGTTTGCTTGAATGAGCAACTTTGGAGATCCGCTATTTCCGTTTATTTCTTGATTTGGTCAATTGTTTTCGTATGACCTGAATTTCTGAATCTTGCGAACCCGAACTTTTCAATTCGAACTTTCACCGGTAGAGCGAGGCATTTTGCCTGTGGAGAGACCGTGCGCGAAGCACCATTGGTCACTACTGGAAAATTAGCGAATCCGCTGTTCTTTTTCGACATGTCCTTAGGACATTCGCTGCTTTCACGTGTTTTTCAATTCGAAGCCACTGCGTAACTCCGGTTTCTTTTGCTATTTGCCATTGTGTAGAGAAGTCAGGAAGATACTCTTAATACCAATTGGGTACGGCAAGGCGTAGTGCTCTACTCATTGCTTTTGAATTTGTGCCTGTGTTTTTGTTTCGACCTAATACCTACATAGGTACATGCATGAGTATTGAGCACATTTATATGCGCCCTTCAAGAAAGAGGTATATAGAGTAACCCTGTAGACAAGCACTGACCGGCAACAGGCTGAGAGTAAAAGAGTGCTGTCATTGGGGAAGACGCCTTAGCTGATCTTGAAGTAGACGCTAGGGCCCCTCTTCAGCCCCCCCCCTCCCCCCCCCATTCGATTCCCCCCTGGTCCGCATTTTTTTCTCTCTCTTTTTCTCTGACTCTGTACCTACCTCCTTATCCATCTATCTATCGATATATCTATCTATCTAGTTGTCCATCTATGTATGTATTTATCTATCTATCCTTGGATCTATCTATCTATCTATCTATCTACCTATTGATCTATCTATTTATCTATCTGTTTATCGATCAAGGTAGCCATCGATCTATCTATTTATCGATCGATGCTTCTATCTCTCTATCTATTTATTCATCTATTTATTTATTTATTTATTTATAGTTTTATCTATCTATCTATCTATCGATGTATTGATCTATCGATCTATCGTGGATGTTCTAGTCCCATTGAGGCCGTGCCGGGGAATAGAGACTCGCAATGTTTACGTCCCGCACATGCGTGCGCTCGCCGGAGAAGCACCTGCATGCAGGATGGTTCGCGCGCGCGCCGCGCGCGTGTGAAGTTACTTTACATTTGACATTATGTTTCTGATTCTATTCCCACAAAGCTTTTTGGGGGGCTAACATTTTCTTCTGCAGGAGGTTTGAGTGAAGAGAAGTATCAATCTCAGTTTGGCAATATTTTTCCTGTTGCTCTCTTTTGCCCCCCCCTACCTTTCGTCCCCCCCCTCTCAAGTATATTGGATATATTCCCTTTATACTCCCTTTAATTTAGGGCATATTTAGGGCATACATAGGGCATATTTAGGGCGAAATGTATGCGAAATGTATGCGAAATGTATGCGAAATGTATTGAGCACTGTTGAACCTAGTGCTGAAGAGCACGAGGCCGAAAGCAAGGACAGTTTTTTGCCATTTGAATTATTCATGATGGTTTGGAGACGTGCCTTTGGCATGTTGCATGCATGTTGCACTGTCGTGCATTTTAAGCGAAGATGTCAGACACTGAGACACTGAAGTGAACTGAGGGATAGCCGTTGTTTCTCTAATCCATGTCTGGTGCAGGTCGGAGGTGGTTCCAACCTAACTAGCGAAAGCTAGCGGCGAACCACTTCCTAACCTTGCTAACCAGTCCAAGGAAGAGAAGCAATGGTTCCCTTTTGCTTCACTTAACTGCCCTGCAATTAGTTTTAAGAACGCCCTGCTCAAGAAGATCGTCGCCGTCATGACTCTGGAGGCCACCGCACACTCTGTAGAAGGCAAAGCCTGCTGCACCTCAATGGATTGTGGCTGGGGAGTGTCGCAAACCCCTTGTGATGCTAACCCCAAAAATACCCCAAAAATACCCAGAGTCAGAAGAACTGCATAAGTACTGCAAGCATGGCAGGACCTTTGCCTTTCAACGTGGATAAAACACGCTGCAGAACTGACCGCCCAGCTGTGGAGAAAAACGGCATGCTGCCATTTTTTTTGATCAGAGTTGGCAATTTTTCTGTATAATATATAAAATATAATATATATATAATAATACATTCATTTTTATATATTATTTAATATAATATATATATATTATATTATATAATATATAGTAAATATTATATATAGTATATATATATAATATATAGTAATAGAGACTTAACCCCAAAATTATATATTAACATTAATTTTATTATTTATAGTAGTAGTAGTAGTAGTAGTAGTAGTAGTAGTAGTAGTAGTAGTAGTAGTAGTAGTAGTAATCGCATGGTTTTCACGCAAAACCTCTTTCTAAAGTAGTAGGAAGAGTAGGAGTAGAAGTAAAAGGACTAGAGTCTGACTAGAGAGTAGGAATAGGATTAACAGTGGTAGTAGTAATATTTTTAGTATATTATATATATGTATATTATGGGAAGTAGTAATAGTAGTAGATCAGTAGTAGTAATGTAGAAGTAGAAGTAATAGTAATAGCAGTAGTAGTAGTGGTAGTCGCGTGGCTTCCGTGTGAAACCTTTTTCTAAAGTAGTAGAAAGAGTAGGAGACAAAATAATACTAGGAAAAGGGCTAGGCCTGGACATGCCAGACCCAGCCAAAACACTCCAAAGAATTTTTTTTTGAATAACAGGGGGGGGGTCTTGAAAAACCGTTTCGGCATGGGTATATATATATATTATATGCATAAACATGTTGGGATATCATTGTTTATATCATTTGGAGATATATACTTTACATCAATGTTTATATGGGATTGACAGATTTTTTGATATGTATATATATATATATAGCGCGGACAATTCGGGCGTGTCCCCGAGAGTGATAGCTCGGCGTGAGCAGAGCTGATCACACAGACAAAGGGTCCAACAGACAGCTTTGTACACACATCACAGGGGGTAGGTGAGTTTGCACCTACCCGCGGCCGTGGTATTTCTGCAGGCTGCAGACCAACAGGGAGGCAAAGCATATGTCAGCTATGCCCACCAATCCATTAACTAACCAGGAGTCAGCACTTCATTTGTCTAGATGCCAACTTGGTTGAAGCAAAACAGGGTTGGAGCATGAACTAAGAAAAAGGAGAAAAGCGATGCTGCACAAACTTCTCTCGTTGCCTGGGTAAAAAACACAAGTCTGCGCGACCCAGGCGCCTCACGAAATTGGCACCTGCAGTGTGAAGGATCAGCACTGCTTGCAGGGCCGACTCAAGCCACTTGTCTCAGGCCGCTAATTCTGTCTCAAAGGCCAGGCAGTGGCAACAGACTGAGGCCGTTGGCTTCCAAGCATTTGAAGAACCGACATAAGCAGTTTGCACGGCTCAGCACCAAGCATGTGAAAAGCCAGCTCTAGGCATTGACGACACAGTTTTCACAAGCACGGCCAGCTACCAAACACTTGAAGTACCATCATGGTATAGCGTTGACTTAGTCTGCTCAACCGCTGCACGCCCACAAAGATGTCAATCGCCAGCTCCGGGCATGGACACAGTAATTTGCACAAGCACAGCCAGCCATCAAACACTTGAGGTACCATCATGGTATAGCGTTGACTTAGTCTGCTCAACCGCTGCACGCCCACAAAGATGTCAATCGCCAGCTCCGGGCATGGACACAGTAATTTGCACAAGCACAGCCAGCCATCAAACACTTGAGGTACCATCATGGTATAGCGTTGACGTAGTCTGCTCAACCGCTGCACGTCCACAAAGATGTCAATCGCCAACTCCGGGCATGGACACAATAATTTGCACAAACAAGTCCAGTTGCCAAACGTGTGAAGCACCTTCATTGCGATGGAGCATGGCAGACTCAAGCATGCACGGTCTTCGCCCAAGAGAACATCAGGAACAGGGTGCCAGGCGCTTCGAGCACCTAGAACGACCAAACTCCATGGCAAACTAACCGGATGAAACTACTCCCAGGGATCTGCCGACTCAGCCACACTAACTGGAAAGTCCTGGGCCCGTGGCTATATATATAAATAAGAAAAACCATGATGCACCATGAATATACTGTATTGGGAATACAATGGGATATAATATGGGATGAATATAGTTTGGACATGGACATCTTGCAATTGGTTTCACATTGTTTTGCATTGTCTTAGCACGTTATTTGTGTTGTTGTTGCAGGTATCGCCGGAAAACAAACGGATAACTAAACGACTGACAACTGCTTTTTATTTTCCATAGAATAGCATGGAAAACAATCCCTATCTCACATGATCTCACTGCAATCTATATTTCCAAGAAAACATCATCCAACTTACCCAATCAGTGAGGTGGCAACTCATATTTTTCCATTGCGCAGAGCTATTTTAATGCAATGCTTTTATAGCTTTTGATTTTTTTTTTGCATATTTCCATCATTTTAATCATCCATTTTCAACTGCCCCCTACTGGCCAGGTCCTGCCGCCTCACTCCCTGCAGCTGGTGTCCTTGCCGGCCCCCGCCACGCCCGGCCGGCCACGCCCAGCACAGCCGGCACGCCGGGGCGCGCCGGGCGCGCGGGGCGCTCTGGGCGAGACGGCCGATGTGTGGCGTGGCCTGCGGGCGCTGCAGGGTCAACAGCAACAGCAGGTGGGGGATGTGGCCGCAGATGGTTTCCCCAGAAATTTGGGTTTCTTTGATTTTTGTTGGGATGTAAGTACCGCGAAATTGGGCTGAGAAGTTGGCAAACTTGGGAACTTGGATCTGGCACGGAAACGGCGTTGCAAGAAGTGTGGCATTCCAAATGGTTTTGGACTCGCTGATATTGGTTTCCACAGATGTAACCAGACGCAGCAGCCATAAGATCCTCCCCAACCTTCCAAAAACATCAAGAACTATGGGGACTCATACGGCCTCAGATAGACTTTCATAGATCTCACCACCCTCAAGGCAACCCCATCCACCTCCCCGAACCGCCCCGTGAAAGGTGGAAGTCCTAGAGCGGCTGCAGTGCGAATCCCAGCAGGACCACCTGAAGCTGTTGCAGCTGGCCACGCGCGTGGAACATCTGGAGCTGAGCAGCCAAAGTTGGCCCAACTTCCTCCAGCGCGAGCTGGAAAGCCGGCTGCTGCAAGAGAGGGAGATGCAACGGGTGCTGCAAACTCAAGGAGATGGGAAGGGAGGGGTTGATGGATTGGTTACCCTCTGGTTATTTAACATAGCCATGGAAAATGGCCCATTTATAGATGATTTTCCCATGAAAACTTCCATTTAAAAGGATTTTCCATGGCTATGTTAGTCAAAACCAGATGGTAAGTTTGGGATCCACCAAGCCAAACCAAGAGGCAAACCAAGGGTTCAACATTTGGAGGTTGTAAAAACGGTACACCATGTCCCGGGTTCGCTGGTCGAGTGGTCATTATCCAATTTTATGATTTATATATTGTTAATTACTATTCCTATTTTCTGATTTATTGTTGATTACTATTCCTATTTTCCGATTTATTATTATTGATTACTATTCCACTTTTCTGATTTATTATCGATTTCTATTCCTATTTTCGGATTCGCGATAAATTACTATTCCAGTTTTCTGATTGATTATTACAGTAATTGCTATTAATTCCAGTTTTCTGCTTGATTATTAATTAAACCAACATGAACCAACTACAATCCGTTATTGTTGGTAATAAGATTATAAGTTATAAGATTATAAAGCACAATCCATTATTAACTGCAATTACTATTCCATTATCTAATCTAATCAATTATGAATCTAGAATTATTGTTCTCAACTACAACCCATTCTCGTGCTCATCTTTTGATTAGAAATCTACAATGAATTAATGTGGGTAAAACAATAATAAACCATCCACCAAATCACCATGTTTATAGTTTATGGCATTGTTTTACCCACATTAACCACTGGTAAACGTTTACATAACTATGAAAATCACCATATGTCATTTTTCACTTAATCCCATCACCCCAATATTAGACACCCCAATTGCATGGTCCCAACGGAATGTGGAAATTCACTACATCCACCATGGTTTTGTGGCCACGGGGTGTTTAATATGAACGCAGGAAGGGATTAATAGTGGTAGTCAAGTATACTTAATAATGGTTGATGATATTTAATGGTTACTAAATATCATCAACCATTATTAAGTAATAACCATGAATGGTAGTTCATGCCATGGTCCATGGCCAGTATTTCATGGTTACTTCACCCCCTTGCCGTCCTAGGAGCCACCTGGAGCATCCAGGCGGCTGAGCAGGGCCTGGCGAAGTTGGAGGCCACGGTGCAGGGCTTGGCGCAGCGCTTCGAGGCGCGCGTGCAGCACGTGGAGATGGGGAGCGATGTGAAGGCGGGCTGGTGGAATGGGGTGGAACAGCCAGGAAAGGACAACATATATATATGATAAATATGATATATATATATGCATATATGATATTTATATATGATATATCTATATGATATTTGATATATACATCTATATGATATATACATCTATATGATATATACATATGCATATACATACACGCATACACGCATACACGCATACACGCATACATACATACATACATACATACATACATACATACATACATACATACATACATACATACATACATACATGTGAGTACGTATACATACATACATACATGTACGTACGTATACATACATACATACATACGTACGTACGTACGTACGTACATACATACATACATTGTACATATACACACAGACATACATACGGACATACATACGGACATACATACGGACATACATACGGCCATACATACGGACATACATACGGACATACATACGGACATACATACGGACATACATACGGACATACATACATACATACATACATACATACATACACACATACACACATACACACATACAGACATACACACATACAGACATACAGACATACACACATATACATACACACATCCACACATCCACACATCCACCCATCCACCCATCCACCCATCCACCCATCCACCCATCCACCCATCCACCCATCCATGCATCCATGCATCCATGCATCCATGCATCCATGCATCCATGCATCCATGCATCCATGCATCCATGCATCCATGCATCCATGCATCCATGCATACATGCATCCATGCATACATGCATACATGCATACATGCATACATGCATACATGCATACATGCATACATGCATACATGCATAATTACATACTTTACAATCCAATACAACCCAATATTTTACAATACATTACAATACATTACAATACATACATTACATACATTACATACACTACATACACTACATACGCTACATAAATTAGATACATTACATACATTACATACATACATATTTACATACATTACATACATTACATACATTACATACATTACATACATTACATACACATGACATACACATGACATACACATGACATACACATGACATACACATGACATACACATGACATACACATGACATACACATGACATACACATGACATACATTACATACAGACAGGACAAGGCAGACAAGACAGACAAGACAGACAAAACAGACAAGACAGACAAGACAGACAAGGCAGACAAGACAGACAAGGCAGACAAGACAGACAAGGCAGACAAGGCAGAGAAGGCAGACAAGGCAGACAAGGCAGACAAGGCAGACAAGGCAGACAAGGCAGACAGACAGACAGACAGCCAGCCAGGCAGGCAGGCAGACAGACAGACAGACATACATACATCCATGCATACATACATCCATCCATCCATACATACATACATCAGATTATAATTATATAAATGCATATATGGAATGTCAAAATGGGTCAAGGGTCAAGAAACAGGTCAAAAAACCATTCAACATTGTTACCCAGGAATTTTAGCTCTAAGAATGAGGATATGGTGGCTTTGAATAGGAAGTTTGTGGGTCTGGAAGCTTAAATGTCCAAAAGTACAAGTGGAAAGCCATCTTCCAAGACATTTTTCTACATCTGGGGCGTTATTTTTTCCATCTCGAAGCACCTCACCACGCCAGTTGCAACCCCCTGGCCCTAGAGGTGGCCGAAGGCATCCTGCAAGCTGAGCCACTGGCAGCGGAGCAGCTGACTGCAGCAGTGGTGGCTTGGCAGTTTTTGGTCAGTTTTGGTAGGAAAACCATGGTGAAATGCGCCCCCGCAAATTTTGGGACACATCCAAATGTCCCTCTTCAAAGCAGAATCATCATCATCATCATCATCATCTCAGTGTTCGATCTCATTGTTCCATCTTTTTGCCAGGATTGCCAGGGTCGTTTGCTGGAGAGCAAGCTGTTTGGGCACGCATTTATTGCACGAACAGTTTTCATGGAAATCCGTTGATGGTTCAACGCAACCACATTTTTGTTTTCAGCAGGGTAAGTTGTTTGGTTTAGTACGATAAATGACCGCCCAATCTGCTCATTACAGGCTCCTAATTTTTGACCTGCACCCAGGGTCAACCACCAACCTACTCAGCCTCATCATGGGAATCCAACTGCTCCCCAGAAAGGTGTTCCCCGCCCCACAGTAATTGATCACCAAACAACCAAACAACCATCAATGAGGGCTCAAGAACCGACTATTCTTGGGGGGTTCACCTTTTCACACTTTGCGGTGGCTGAATTTCGATGAGCACCAACCACCAATAGGGGCTTATTATATAACCATTTTTTGGGAGGGGGTTCACCCTTGGGCTGGCTGAATTTTGATGAGCTCTCCAGGAATCGAGATTGACTGAGATCCACCTGACCCTCAGGGAGCACAGCAATGCCTTGGAGCGCATTGCCTCAGCTCAGCACGGCTTGGAGGATGCCATGGCTGGGTTACGCCTCAGCTGTGCCCAGGAGTTCTCGGCGCTGGAGGGGCTTCAGGGGCTGGAGAAACGGATGCAGACCGTGGAACGAAGCTTTGGGGAGGCGGCAACGGTCCGGGACAGAAAAAGTGGGTGAACCACCTGCAACTGCAGTTGAGTGTCTTTAAAGGGTCTATTGGAATTGCCATGGGCAATGATGGCATTGTTTGGAAGCGACTTCACTTGGAAAAGACACTTTGTCTAGCTGGCCTTATGATGAGGAAGGTCGCGGGGCCCTGCTGTTGAGATGAATGAATGTTTGTGTTGTTTGTGTACGAATGAGCCGTGGCCCCCAAGATGCCAACAATTTATTGATGGGTTATGAAAGATCAACCTTTGGTGATTCCATAGTGGTTAACTCCCCTGGTGATTTTCATGGATAAAATATGGAAGATGCCCGTTGAGTCGTCTGCTGTCAGGTGGGGAACTCCCAGAAGTTGCTAGGTCAGATGAAACACCTGCAGACGATGGCAGCCGAGGGAGCCAAGCGATGTGACGCTTGGATTGCGTGGCTTTGTTCCTGGATCTCTGGGTTTCGGCCTTCTGAGCTCTTTCAATCTATTCATTGCTAATCTGTTAATGGCCATTTCAGACACCTAAAGCGGGGGTACTGTGCCACACAAGCCATCGTTTTCAGAGCTGCACTACGTATATTCATCTTTGTTCCCGTGCATTCCCACAGAGAGAGAGAGAGAGAGTTGCACATTTCTTGCTCAGCAACCTGGCATCGTTTCTCCCGTTGGCTCTAGTTCTGGTCACCGTCCGTTGTTCGGCCGAATTGTTCAAAGTCGCGGATGTATTCATGTTTCGCAGCCACCTCAGATCAAACATGCAAATATTGGATTGATATTAAGATTGGATTGATGGCCTGTCGTGCAACCACGTATGCCTGTAGGCCTATCATTCTCACTCTTTCCAGGCTACTGGCTCGGAAAACAAACATGCTAGCTCTGGACCAGCCGCTTCCTTCGAGCAATCAACGCTCACCGGGGAGCACGAGATGGTTTCACGATCAAGCTCATTCCATCTGTAGAACTGGCTCTGGCGTTCGAAAGGTAAGGCTTCTAGTGGACGGAGACTCTTTTGGTGGCGCCCAGGTACGTGATGCGATGAAACATCTGGCTGAAAAGTTTATTGATGTAAACACGCTGATTTTTGCGGCCCCTGGGCTCATCAAGACCAAGAAGATGAGCAGACTAGTGGACCAGTCCAACATATCCTTTGTTCCAGTTCCTCGTGGGCAGGACCTGGCGGCGGAGCCCAATGATAATGCGATAATTTCTGAAATGCAGAAGTGTGCAAAGAATCCAGGTGATGAGTGCATAGCACTGTTGACCGGCGACAAGGGTTTTGCCAATGTCATTAAGCTGTTAATGTCAAATAGGCAAGAAATTTTGGTGGTAGTTCCCGCTAATTGTTTCAATGCCATCAGGTGTTTCCAGGAGCACGGCATACCAATGCTTTCTCTGCCGGTAGAGGAACAAATCTGCAAGGTCCGGGCGATTCTTGATGCTCACGGGAACGGGACTGTGGAAATTGGAAATGATATTGATTTATCGGCTTACCAAGCTCAGTGTGAGGGTATGTATGAGTCATGGGAAAAGCTGTTGAAGAGCCAGGGTTGCTCGGCGTCATTTGTATCTTCAGGTGCCTATAAAATTCAACGAATAGCCAAATTCTGGTTTTCAAATGGTTTGGGCTCAGTGCCAGTGTACCCTGTCTCACTAGCTGTTTCTGCGTTGGACAATGCCATTCGGCATCAGCCTCAGAGATGGATTTTGAACAGCAACGCCTTGGCCTGCGTTCTGCCAATAACATCACCCGGTGGCCGCCTAAACAAGTCCGAACTCAAGACTTATGGAAGCCAACTTGGGCGACAGGTCTTTCGAGGTGGTGGTCCTTTCATGCTGCGTGATTCTCATGAGTTTACAGTCGAAGCATTGCGCAAGCTGGGCTACCTTGATGACTTATGGAACACTGACCTGAGGGAGGCGCTCAGCTGCTTCTGGAATACCAAAACCAATAAATACAAACTGCGAAAACTTGGTATGATGGTGGATTCTTTCGAGACAACCTCCGATGCTGCTGCAAAGCTGAGAGCTGCTTTGTTGTCTGACAACACTGATGCACAGTGGCAACGTGGTGGCACATGCACGCCTGCTGTCATAGACCGACTCAGGTCTAAGAAGATCTTGTCAAGGTGCTCTGAATCTCCAGCTATGGACGAGGTTTGGTGTGCAATGAAGACGTACGCCAAAGTTCATGGGTTGCTTAGCATGAAGACCTTCAATGCTTTGGCAGCCAGCATAGTTCAACATGCGACTCAAAATGATCCCCGGCGAAGAGGCCGGATCAGCATTGATGATTGATGATGAGTGTTCATATTCCTTCATTGGCCAAATTTCAGCCTGGAGAGTTTGCAATGCACCAGCCAATGATTAGCTATCATGGCTATCATCGTTTGCTCAAAAAGGTTTGCGGGGCCCTCAAGGTTTGGGAGGCTGATACACAAAGATGCCTCATGTTGTACAGTTTGTTGCAAAAGACCTGAGGTATGCCCAAAATGTGGATTTAGGCCCTCCGAGTTTTCACACAGTGTTTCCCTTTTTTTTGGGTGGGGTGCATGCATTGTTCATGTTGGACTGTGTCCTCGCCTGGTAGATCCCTCTACAGTTATATAATGTTATATAGGTAGATGCCTACTCCGCCACTGCTTTTGCATCTCAACCTTTTCAAAAGTTCAGTAGCCCACTCTCGCCGCAAAAGAGTCGAGTGCCAATGAACCCAATAAGGTCCAATAAGCAGTGAACTCCGTTCTATGATTCCATAGGTTGCTTCCATGCAATGCAACAGCCATGCTGCTTGCACTTTTTGATCCAAATCAGAGAGAAAACCATGGCCAAGGAATCAAACCAATAAGGCATCAAGTAGGTACCTCCAATTTTAGATATTGATATTACACCAGAACTTTCCCCTCAAATTTCATCCCCAGCCCTTCCAGCTTCCAAGGACCAGCTCCAGGACGAGGTGTCGCAGCAGAGTCGCTTCGCGCAGGATCTGCACGTGGCGCAGCTGCACAACGACACAGCCGTGGAGCTGCAGAGCCAACGCTTGGACGAACGCCTGGGGCGCCTGGAGGAGGAGTGGAAGATGCGGAAGGTGTACAAAAGTGCCGGGGAACTTTGGCGAACAAATTGAGCATTTTTGTTTTTTGACCTTATGATAGTGTATGGGGATTTTTTTTTCAAATGTATATGTATATATATATAATTAGATAAATAAATAAAATAAATAAATAAATAAATAAATATACATACATATACATATATATATGATTATATATGCATATTTTTGTCTTCTGGATATCGTGATGAATAATATTCATCGATTTCCATCAGATGAATTGGAGAAGGCTCCAAGTAGCTTTAGAGTTCCATCCTGCTGGGTACGAGATCAGACGCGCGTGACCTCTTTCGAAGGTTCACCCTTGAGGGCGCAATTAGCTCCAGATACAATTGGACCTTGGACCATCTGTCATTCACACAGGATGTATGAATCTCTCTCTCTCTCTATATGTATATATATATATATATCAGGGCGACCCCGGCAAGACTCATTTTTTTAAGAATAATCAGCATGTGGCACAAGTGGGTCAGCCAGCTCCTTGATTCAAACATGGAACCAAAGTTTGACTCAAATCACCACTGGTGAGCATTCATATTCATCACACCGTGCTTTGATATGCTTACAGTAGAGAGCCACAGGGTGCGTGAAGCATCGTGAAGCATCATGTCATGATGTGCCGAAATCTGAGCAGCTGTGGCCCAAGATGTGCCTGGTGTTGTCTTTTGTCCACAAAGAGTGATGGCAAACTCCGTGGTTGGCATTTTCTTTTCGGTCATTTTGGTTGCACAAGGCAAATCAAATGTCAGTTTGGCTTCAAGACTCTGGACATGTTTGAACCCAAGCCTCACCATTGAAAGCAACATGGAGCACACGGACGTCAACGATGAAACTTGTGAAGTGAAGAGAGCGCTGGGACCCTTGTTCCAGCTGAGTGACTTTGAGAAATCTGTCACAGAAACCAAGTCTCTTGTTTACACACTTCGCGCAGTGGCGGATGGCGATAACGACCAGGAATTTCCGGAAACTATAAAGGATCCGATCCGTCGATGGATGCTCAATGTGGGCATTGTTTTCGTGGTCATTGTGTGGTGCGGCTTCTCGATTGTCGCGTGCATCTTGATCATCGTCGTAATCACTCGTCATGATCGACGGAATTGGCAGGAATTGCTGGCTCGGGTGGCAACCTTTTGGATGCTTGGGGTGGTTCTCACTCTCGTCATCTTATGGGCCCTGGTTGTATTTTCAGGCCTCCTCTTACTTCTGCTGGAAGTTGCCATGGTGGTGGCAGGACCCTTCCTGCTTCAAGCCCTCCCCAATTGCCAGATGGACCGCGCAATATGGTTTTGCCTTCCGGTTCCTGGCAGTGATAGTGCCATCCCCATCAATTACTTCTTGCTTCCATCATACGGCATTTTATGGGCAAGGCAGCTCCTTTCAGTGGTGATTGGGCAAAGGGCTGACCAAGCGACATTCAGCTTGCTAGACTTTTTGTTCCACCTTTTGGATGCTCAGAGTGATTTGAGTCTGGCCTGGAATTCTTGGAAAATTGTGCCGCTTTGGTGGTCATTCTGCTTTTTCCCAACGGTGCTACTTTCTATCTACAGTGTCCAAAGTGTGTGGCATCATGCTCCAATCGATAAATGTTGGTGGTTAAAGTTGCAGCTCTCGGAGGCTATTCCACAAGTGCTCCTCGCTTTGGCAAATATTTGGCTCTATGCCCGTGCAGATGCTCCACAAGACCCCTTCGTTGTGACTACAATTGTCAGCTCAATAGTGAAGTGCCTCACAGGAATCATTGAACGTTGCCAAGACCACGAGGACAACCAGCTGTTGTCAACTGACAGTTCAAGTGAGGAGGGTGAAAAGTAAGATTCAACATGATTCAGCTATCAATAGGCCCACCTTTATCCATGCAATGGTGAATTGCAGGATGACAGTATATACTTATAATTACTTATATATACTTTATCCTGTTTCACTCGATGGCTTCACTGCAAAGCAGTGTTTGATGTCAGCGTGACGTTAGCAGAAAAGCGAGATGAGGCAGAGAATGCAGAAGCATTCATTTCACTGGCTGAAGCACAAACAAATCACTACAGTAGCTGGATAGCCAGACCCCAACTGTATTCTGCAATCATGGTGTAATGAGGGAAACCCAACAACAAAACATAATAAACCAACCCATTAGCCAACCATGGAATTATATCATCCCATTGCTAGGAGATGCCATGCCTCCTGGTTGCCCCAGCCGAGGACAACTCTGAGGAGTTGAAGGCACTCTGGCAGAGCATCAGCCTGCTGACAGGGCGAGTGGAGATGATGGAGGTTGGATGTTGCTGCGGTGTGTGTTGCTTTTTAGGTGGTCGGATGTCATTGGTGTTTTTTTTAAATAAGATGTTTCGGAAGAAATCTTGGTGACCGGTAGGCAGGCTTCAAAGGCTCAATTTCACCTTCGATCCTGTTTCATCATAGTCATCATACAATATTAAGATAGACTAAGGATAAAAAGATCATCCAACGAAATCAGCAGAGAAACATAAGTCACCACCATCTCTCTCCAGCCCCCCGTCATTTTCAAGGCACAGCCACGCTCCGATGCCAACGAACCACGGCCGTTGCGCGGTGCTGAGGCACCGCGGGCCGCTGCATTGAGCGCGGTGGAGAAGATGGAGGCGGCCACACAAAGACTGATGGCCTACCGACCCTGACGCCTGATGGAAAAAGGATGGGACAGAAGCTGGGGCCATGATCGTTTTCTTGCGGGACTTTTTTTGGGGGGTTTTGATTAACCAGCAAGAAATCAGGGGGAGGGGTGAGATGGGGTGAGTGGGTGTTTTTTTTTTCTCCGGGGGGAGGTATATAGGTGACAGCGGGAAGAGTTGTTCAATCAACATAGCAGTTGAATGCAGTTGATGGATCGTGATCTTAACGATGTTGATGGAGAAACTCTGTCCAACAGATACAACTAAAGACGTATAAGCCTGTTCACTTACACGGGTGCTTAACCCCCCCTCACGAACATCATAGTATCCCAAAGTTGGTCTAAGAGACCAGTTCCAAGGCTTTCCAAGGTGTTCAAAATCGAGGTACAATAATCCTAGACCCCTAGTATATCCTAGTATTAAACACCCCATCAATGGTGTCATTTTTTAATATTTTTTTTTACTCAACCATGAGTTCTTGGGGATGGCATCCATTGAATGGCACAGGTCCCTGGACGTGGCGTTGCTGGACCTGCGTGGCAGCTCTGCCGAGGTGGCACAGGTGAGGTACCATAGAGCGGTTGGAAAAGATGAAGTGTTTTAATTGACCATGAATATCTGAACATATTTTTCTTCAACATCGATTTTCATTTGTATATATATGATTATATATGTATGTATAAACTCCTCTGAAGAAATCTGAATCAGGTGGTTTCCCAAGGTTTCTCCATTTTGAACATTGTGGTCATTTTTACAACTTGCAGTTCTGGCATCAGCCGCCGCATCCCAGGAGCAGATGGCCCTCTGGGATTTGAAGGTGAAACCAGCGGGAGTCACTTGGCGCTCAAGGAGATTCAAGGAGTCTGCTGGTTTGTTGCTTTGCCAGTGCATGAAATGCTGGGTGGTGACTGGAACCATGGAATTTTATATAATTTTATGACTTTCCATTCAGTTGGGAATTTCAAGGAATTTCATCATCCCAACTGACTTTCACTCCATGATTTTTCAGAGGGGTACTGACCTACCACCATTAAATGGTATTCACCTCTGTGGATGATATGGATGTATATACACATCCACACACATCATCGCATGATATGTTATAAAAGGCTGCACCTAAATCTGGGCCCATATGGTTTGCCCATTGGTTGAGCAAGAGAGGGGTCATCCCGAAAAAAAAGACCCAGTAGGTCAATATATTGTACCCTCTGGTGCACTAACAGTTTGCTATTGAAAATGGCCATAGAAATAGTTGATTTACCCATTAAAAATGGTAATTTTCCATGGTTATGTTAGAAAAAACCAGAGGGTAAGTGATGAGTCCAGGTCCTCCTGGGCATTGGCTTTGCCCCAGAGTCCATGGAGATCGTGGGAGGGCCTGGACAATCATCACGAAAACGTGGCCAATCAAATTTCTGTGCAGAATAATATCATAATGATATATGCCATAGATAACTATATCATATCATTATATATATAATTAATTGTGGCATATCCAATAGATATAATATAATGATATATGCCTTTAGTAGTTTGCTCTGATTTAAAGGGACCTCAGGCTAAATCTAATCGGATATGAATGTGTATGAACCGTCGACAGTGACCGTCCAATGAGTGTTGATTTTGAGAGACCCCCAAGCATGGCACGACGCGCATGCTATAGATACTATGGCCAGACCAACTGCTCAAGGCTCTTGAGCCATAGAACGCACATTGACATGGCACCAACCAAGGGTTTCAAACGCACGAAGCTCTCCCAAGCATCCGACTTAGAATGCAGCAAACATCAGGACACCAAATTTTGACCCTTACCATTGTGCACAAAATGGTTCAAAGCACGGGCAAAAGGGGCCCAGAAATGCGACCAGAAGCCGAGAAGCCGAGAAGCCGAGAAGCCCGACACAAGCCGAGAAGCCGAGAAGCCGAGAAGCCGCGAAGTACGACACAAGCCGAGAAGCCGAGAAGCCGAGAAGCCGAGAAGCCGAGAAGCCGAGAAGCCCGGCACAAGCCGAGAAGCCAAGAAGCCGAGAAGCCGAGAAGCCGAGAAGCCACCGGGCAAGCCGAGAAGCCGAGAAGCCGCGAAGCCGAGGAGCCGCCGGGCAAGCCGAGAAGCCGAGAAGCCGAGAAGCCGCGAAGCCGAGAAGCCGCCGGGCAAGCCGAGAAGCCGAGAAGCCGAGAAGCCACCGGACAAGCCGAGAAGCCGAGAAGCCGAGAAGCCACCGGACAAGCTGAGACAGTAGCCCTGGAACCCCCTCTGAACACTATGTTGCATCTTCACCATCACAAGACATCAACTCCCCAACCCCCTCTGAACAATACGTTGCACCTTGAGACATCAGCCCCGCCACCCCCTTTGAATATATGTTGCATCTTCGAAGATCAAGCCAGCGACCCCCTCTGAACACTACCTCGCCCCGTTAAACTTCTACATTCATTGAAGATCTTCAATGAGGGTTTAATTCTCCCAGCCCCTTCAAACTTCTACATTCATCGAAGATCTTCAATGAGGGTTTAATTCTCCCAGCCCCGTTAAACTTCTACATTCATTGACGATCTTCAATGAGGGTTTAATTCTCCCAGCCTCGTTAAACTTCTACATTCATTGACGATCTTCAATGAGGGTTTAATTCTCCCAGCCCCGTTAAACTTCTACATTCATTGAAGATCTTCAATGAGGGTTTAATTCTCCCCAGCCCCTTCAAACTTCTACATTCATCGAAGATTTTCAATGAGGGTTTAACTCTCCCAGCCCCGTTAAACTTCTACATTCATTGAAGATCTTCAATGAGGGTTTAATTCTCCCAGCCCCGTTAAACTTCTACATTCATTGACGATCTTCAATGAGGGTTTAATTCTACCAGCCCCGTTAAACTTCTGCATTCATCGAAGATCTTCAATGAGGGTTTAATTCTCCCAGCCCCGTTAAACTTCCGCATTCATTGAAGATCGTCAATGAGGGTTTAACTCTCCCCAGCCCCGTTAAACTTCTACATTCATTGAAGATCTTCAATGAGGGTTTAATTCTCCCCAGCCCCGTTAAACTTCTACATTCATTGACGATCTTCAATGAGGGTTTAATTCTCCCAGCCCCGTTAAACTTCTACATTCATCGAAGATCTTCAATGAGGGTTTAACTCTCCCAGCCCCGTTAAACTTCTACATTCATCGAAGATCTTCAATGAGGGTTTAATTCTCCCAGCCCGGTTAAACTTCTACATTCATTGACGATCTTCAATGAGGGTTTAATTCTACCAGCCCCGTTAAACTTCTACATTCATGGACGATCTTCAATGAGGGTTTAATTCTCCCAGCCCCGTTAAACTTCTACATTCATCGAAGATCTTCAATGAGGGTTTAATTCTCCCCAGCCCCGTTAAACTTCTACATTCATTGACGATCTTCAATGAGGGTTTAATTCTCCCCAGCCCCGTTAAACTTCTACATTCATGGACGATCTTCAATGAGGTTTTAATTCTCCCCAGCCCCGTTAAACTTCTACTTTCTTTGACGATCTTAAATAAGGGTTTAATTCTCCCCAGCCCCGTTAAACTTCTACATTCATGGACGATCTTCAATGAGGGTTTAATTCTCCCCAGCCCCGTTTAACTTCTACATTCATGGACGATCTTCAATGAGGGTTTAATTCTCCCAGCCTCGTTAAACTTCTACATTCATGGCCGATCTTAAATGAGGGTTTAATTCTTCCCAGCCCCGTTAAACTTCTACATTCATTGAAGATCTTCAATGAGGGTTTAATTCTCCCAGCCCCGTTAAACTTCTACATTCATTGACGATCTTCAATGAGGGTTTAATTCTCCCGAGCCCCGTTAAACTTCTACATTCATTGACGATCTTCAATGAGAGTTTAATTCTCCCCACCCCCGTTAAACTTCTACATTCATGGACGATCTTCAATGAGGTTTTAATTCTCCCAGCCCCGTTAGACTTCTACATTCATTGACGATCTTCAATGAGGGTTTAATTCTCCCCACCCCCGTTAAACTTCTACATTCACTGACGATCTTCAACGAGGGTTTAATTCTACATTCCAGCCCCGTTAAACTTCTACATTCATGGACGATCTTCAATGATGTTTTAATTCTCCCCAGCCCCGTTAAACTTCTACTTTCTTTGACGATCTTAAATAAGGGTTTAATTCTCCCCACCCCCGTTAAACTTCTACATTCATGGACGATCTTAAATGAGGGTTTAATTCTCCCCAGCCCCGTTAAACTTCTACATTCATGGACGATCTTCAATGAGGGTTTAATTCTCCCCAGCCCCGTTAAACTTCTACATTCATGGTCGATCTTAAATGAGGGTTTAATTCTTCCCAGCCCCGTTAAACTTCCACATTCATTGAAGATCTTCAATGAGGGTTTAATTCTCCCAGCCCCGTTAAACTTCTACATTCATGGACGATCTTCAATGAGGGTTTAATTCTCCCGAGCCCCGTTAAACTTCTACATTCATTGACGATCTTCAATGAGAGTTTAATTCTCCCCACCCCCGTTAAACTTCTACATTCATGGACGATCTTCAATGAGGTTTTAATTCTCCCCAGCCCCGTTAGACTTCTACATTCATTGACGATCTTCAATGAGGTTTTAATTCTCCCCACCCCCGTTAAACTTCTACATTCACTGACGATCTTCAACGAGGGTTTAATTCTCCCAGCCCCGTTAAACTTCTACATTCATGGACGATCTTCAATGAGGGTTTAATTCTCCCCAGCCCCGTTAAACTTCTACATTCATGGACGATCTTCAATGAGGGTTTAATTCTCCCCACCCCCGTTAAACTTCTACATTCATGGACGATCTTCAATAAGGGTTTAATTCTCCCCAGCCCCGTTAAACTTCTACATTCATGGACGATCTTAAATGAGGGTTTAATTCTCCCCAGCCCCGTTTAACTTCTACATTCATGGACGATCTTAAATGAGGGTTTAATTCTCCCCAGCCCCGTTAAACTTCTACATTCATGGACGATCTTCAATGAGGGTTTAATTCTCCCAGCCCCGTTAAACTTCTACATTCATTGACGATCTTCAATGAGGGTTTAATTCTACCAGCCCCGTTAAACTTCTACATTCATCGAAGATCTTCAATGAGGGTTTAATTCTCCCCAGCCCCGTTTAACTTCTACATTCATGGACGATCTTCAATAAGGGTTTAATTCTTTCAGCCCCGTTATATATAAACTTCTACATTCATTGACGATCTTCAATGGGGGTTTCCGTGTCGCGCCGCGACGCAACGCCGTGTGCACTCTTGCAGAAGGAAGCGTCGCAGCGCCAACAGCGTCGCAGCGTCGCTCCCGCGTCGCAGCATCGCAGCGTCGCAGCGTCGCAGCGCCAACAGCGTCGCAGCGTCGCTCCCGCGTCGCAGCGTCGCAGCGTCGCAGCGCCAACAGCGTCGCAGCGTCAACAGCGTCGCAGCGTCACTCCAGCGTCGCAGCGTCGCAGCGCCAACAGCGTCGCAGCGTCACTGGCCCAACGGCAGCGTCGCAGCGTCGCAGCGTCGCAGCGTCGCAGCGTCGCAGCGTCGCAGCGCCACCCGCCCACCGTAGCGTCGCAGCGTCGCAGCGTCGCAGCGTCGCAGCGCCACCCGCCCCCGGGAGCGTCACAGCGCAACGTCGGAAACCCACGCTTCGGCCCCCTTTTTCCCTGCACTGAAATGGTTCTCCGCACTTTTCCCTGCTTTGTCAATTCCTGGCAGCCATCTTTAAACAATTTTGGAGTGATATGACCAAATCAGGAAGCTCATATCACTCATGAGTGCTAGAGTTTTCACAACATACCCTCCGGATGACTTTCCCATTTATGGATGAATTTCCCAAATGCCACGTTGGATTACGGAAGAGGGTACTCGTAACAGGTCCATCACCTGCAACGTCTCCGCCATGCTGTTGGGCGCCATGTGGCTTCTCCTGCAGATCGCCGCGGTCGGCGCGGCGGAGCTTCTCCCGGATTTCTATTTCCGAGGTGGTGAAAAGGAGATGACCGGCGGTATCAGATGGCTGGGCGTTTCAGAACGACATCTGGCTGGTGGATTTAGATATGGTGCATTTACGTGCATTTTTTTTCCATCTTTTTTATTCTTTTTTGGGCTTGATGACCCGCTTGACTGCAAAGAATTTTGGAGGGGTTGAAACCATAATGTATTCCCATGGGTGGTAGGTGAGCCCCTCTTACTCCGAGGGTTTGGCTGTACAGAAAGCTGCTTCATACAGGACCACTTCGAGCTGGGTTTGGCCATGGGTCAAGCCTACCAGGCTGCCATCAGAGAGAGGGTGGCCGCACATGCACCTCGGCCAACTGAGAGGCGCTTAGCATTTCCGTTCTATCCTGGATAGCCTCCGGAAACCCGACATGGCAATGGTTTTCCAATTTACATGCGATTTTTCTATTAAAACCTCCATAGCTTTTTGATGGATTTCCCATAAAAAAATGGTAAAACAGGGATGCTAGGACAAGACAGGTTGGAGGTCAGGTGGGAGGCTGTTATGTTTTTGTTCAATGTTGTCAAAGGTAGGGAAGAAACATTGAACAAAAACATAAAAACCAAAACAGGGGACATATTAACATAAACTGTCCCAGTATCCCTGTTTTACCATTTTTTTCCCATGTTTGATGACCCGAGGGTAACCACGGACCGAGGCGCCCCAGCTGGAGCAACTGCTGAATGAGCAGCGTTGCCAGGAGCATTTCGGGAAGCTGCTGGCAACACATCAGAGGCGACTTGGCGGTGATGGTGGTGATGGTGGTGGTGGACTGTGGATGGGACATGGTGGGTTGCAACACGTGTAAGGGTGGTATTTGTGGATTGTTCTTCTGCCACTTTTCTCCTCCAGATTGAGCCTTCTTAAAAAAACCCATTGAACCTGTCGAAAAGCCTCCCAAATTCATCTGAAATCCTCGAAAATCCAGGTGAACATCATGATTCCTGCACACTTTTCCAGCATGTTTCAATGGCACATACCCCCAACATCCCCCAACCTATCTGGGCGCATCCGCCATCATCCGCCTCCGTTCCGCTCCCAGGCTGGTCCCAGAGCTGTTAGAGGAGCTTCGCGGCATCAGCAGCGGCAGCGGTGTGGAGTTTCGGCTGCTTCTGGGTGTCAGCCTGCAGGAGAGGGCTCAATGGGGCTGGGATGGGCTGGGCTTATGGAGGATTTTCCATGATTTTCCACAATGGGGATATTGACTAACCGTTAGACTAACCGACTAACCAGTAGAATGGGATGGTGAGTGATTTTTAATGGCTCGAACCGGAGTTTTTGAACCATTTGGCTGGGAGAATGTAAGTTGTTTGGTTCAGAACCACGCAGGAAGAAACAGTTTGTCGTTGCGGAAGGTTTGAGGAACCGCCAGGGACCACCCATCCCACCCGTCCATTGGTTCGAGGAGGAATTGGGCTATTGCAACGCCTCGGCGAGACGGAAGGGTCCAGACCACTGCAGCGATTACATGCTTTGAGACTTGGCGACATTTTGTTGCAGAGTTGGGCGACTGGAGAAAACATAGCACCCCAACACATGATAAAATCATATACACAATCAGCTCATGTTCATGCACAGGTCGCAAAATATCGACCCAAATCAAGAAAACGATTTGCTTCTATCATGTTCTATCTAATTTCTACATATTTCTACAAGTTCAGGAAGCCAATGGGGTTCCTGGCCCATCCCCCCTTCACCGGTTTGGGACACGTTCTGCTGCCGAAGGCAACTCCCAGCACTGCTTCGATGTGCACAACGAGGATGGCGACCTCCCAGACCCTGGGCTGGTACAGGGGAATGGGATTTTTCTCCTTGCCAGCTGAAGTCATATCATCCCCCAAGAACCCATGGAATCCGCATTTTGATCCATTTTTCCAAACCGTAAAATCATTTCCCAAACTTCCAAAGCATCTTGGGGTTTTCCCTGTCTGACAAGGACCGGAAGCTCTTTGTGGCGCAGGTGCAACTGGGTGCCCTGAATTTCACTGCGGTGAACTATGCAGGGGACCTGCTGGGAGGGATGTGCCTTGGCCGGGCGGGTGGTGTCGGTGTCTGGAAGTAAAATGACTTTGGAGTGGTACTTGGATGGTGCATTTATGCGAATATGGCCGACATTCATGGGGTATTATGCCTAACCAATTATACTGAAACCTGCTTGCAAATGGTTTGGTCAAAAATGATGGTGATGAGCACTAGCTGATTTCAGATACATATATTCACAGGGATCATAGCCATGTGTATCCCATCCCCACATCCACCCCATCCTGATGGCCACAGGTCAGCACTGGCCTTCAATTCCCAGGGCCTGGGCTTCTCCTTGAACTGGGTGGGTCCTGGCACCTGCGATGTTTCGGGGCTGGGGCGGAACTTTGTGAGCCGGCAGCTGCTGACAGCGCAAGGTGGGGATGGATTGGGGCACTGGAGGAGGACGAGGGCTGAGAAATTTCAAAGCACCTGTCAGGAGTTTCTGAAATTCTTTATTGAGGTTAATTGATAAATTGTGGCTGTGGTCGATGCCACGTCGTACCTGGTCAATAGCTGTGCGTCCGTTAACTTTCTGGGGGCTGTCACGAGTGGATTACCAGAAAATTGGAGATCTCCGGGCAGCCTCTTGGTGGCTTGCTTTCAGCATCACCTACATTGTTTCTTGATAGACGGATACACAGGCAGACAGATTGATGGATAGATGGACAGGTAGATACATAGGAAATCGGTAGATAGGTAGGCATAGTTATGTAGAAACGTAGCTTTTTAGCCACCAAACTGATGAGGGGGTGCACCAGGCTGGGATGAGGCCAAGAGTATCGTTGCGCAGAAACATGCTGCAGGCCCGGCGGGCAAGTGGTGGTAGCTGAGAATGATGAAGACTTCCAAGCCCACTAGATATATTTTAGAATATTTTAGACATTTTCGGATAAGATTAAGAAAGTTGAAAACAATGGCTATGATGGTGGGCTGGTAACCTAAGAGATCCGTCGTTTTTTTTGATGTGAACCTTCAGATGCGACTGTCCCTCCTTTCTAGACGGGCCTCAGAATGATTCTGCCGCACAGTCAGGTCACAACTACCAGCTGCTGGACTTTGCCCATCGCCGCATCTCCAACTTTGAAGTGGCGCATGACAAGGCGGAGCACTTTTGTCAACAAACATCATCGAGTCATACACGCCTTCAAGCCCTGATTGATCTGACATGACTATCCCTACTGACCTTGACATAAAGAGGATTGCCGGACAACCAGGGTACACCATCGGGAGAAAAGCGCCACCCCCCGTGTTCAGGTTTCGGAGAAGGTGATCGATCAGGCGTTTTTCCATGCCAACCAGTACCAAACCCTGGAGGTTCCTGGTCAGTTCCTTGCCTATTAAAAAAATGCGGGAGGGAATATGGATGGCACTGGTAGAGTGGTAGTTCTACGGACCTAGACTACCTAGACTCGATTTGAAACCTGTGACGGGGAATTTCAAGAGTTCAACAGAATCAACAGAAAGATCATAGGATGGCCTTCTTGGGGGTCAATCTCTGCTTCTACAAGTGTATGGGGAGTAGTGGGGAACAGGTCAGAACCGGGCTATAGATGACATTCAGCTGAGGCTTGTTTTGCCGCAGCCACCTTCAAGTTGTACAGATGTTTATAGCAGAAATTGGCAGAATTTGATCTATGCAAGAGAAGCATCCACAGGATATCATGAGGGAAGGAGGGTCCAACACCTGGGCATGCCATTCGTGTGCCAACTCGCTTCCCCCGAGGATCACCGGCAACAGCTCCCTCCACCGCCTAGCGCGTGCCCGGCAGCTGCCGGTGCCCCGCACGGCGGCGGAGGCGCTGGAGGTGCTGGGGGATCAGCAGGACCACGCGTGCTTCGGCCTAGATTCTCTTTCCGCAACATTTCCACAGAGGTTTGAAGTGCGGAGACAGCATGTACCCTCTGGTAATTTAACCGGCAGGACTGAGGGTTGTCCCGGAATGGTCGTATGAACGTCAGTGGGAGGCTCATTTCTCTGCGCAGGTGCAGTGTTTTATGACTCTGGTACATCTGTGAGTTAGCGTGGTCTAAGACGAATTTTTGGAAAAAATAAGTCAGAAAAGTGAACCCTCTGCGGACTTCAGGCGTTTCGGCCATTTCCACTTTTTCAATCTTTTCGACTTTTTTGGCGAGTCCGGATTTTATAACTTATGTAAACCCTAAATGAAACACCTAATAGAAGTATGCGTATATGTTCCATGGGGCCGGGGGATTTTATAACTTATGTTATACCCTATATGAAACCCCTAATAGGAGGTATGCGTATATGTTCCATGGGGCCGGGAGATTATGACAAGGACATGTTATGACAAGGAAATCCCCTAGCACTGGAATGATGGAACCAATGGGTTGCTAGCTCCGCTCTCGGGTATGGCCCTCCGGGCCATACCCTCGTCCTGTGGGTAATTTAACATAGCTATGGAAAATCACCATGATTAATGGGAAAAACCACTATAAATGGTCATTTTCAATAGCTATGTTAAATTACCAGAGGGTAAATCAAACCAAAATCATACTGGAATACTGGAAGTATTTGGCAGTGATCTACATCGATACTGTACAGACGCATCATTTGAACTAGTGTTGCTGGTGTCACACCAAAAGAACATCATAAACTTAACCCCTTCTCAGCGACAAAACAGACGCATGCAACTTCCGGTAGATGGGAGCAGAAACATGCAGAAACCATCATCCATCATCCAACCATCATCCACTGGCCATCCAACCATCATATCCTCTGCCGCTGTTGGATCTCAGGTATCCCATCTTCCACGACCAGCTCAGCCACCGCCTGGGTGACCAATCGGATTGGACGTTGGCCTCGGTACTCTTCGATCTGCAGGAGGCGGCTGCATCTGGTTGAAGCTGAAAAACGCGTTGGAGATGGTAGGTGTGTAATGTATAATAATGTATAACAAGAGAAGGGGCTGGGTCTGGGTTGGACTTTCTTGCTTGGTGGGTTGTTGTGGGTACTTTTTTCATCTTTTTGGTATTTCTAAATAGGTTTTGGATGGTTTTGGGGCAGATTGGGGGGTGGAAGTTGGGGAAATTCAGTAGTTGCGGTCATCCAATCTTGCCAGGGCCGAGTGGACCTGATGGCTGGCAACCCCAAGGAGAGGGTTTGATGGGCGGCTGCCCATGTAGAATCGTTTGGGCAGTGGCAGACTGAGTCATGGCCCGGATTCAGAACCTGGCTGATTTGTTCAGGGCAGATACCACCCCAAAGTCATTAGTTGTTCCTTCACAATGCGCATCTCTCCGATTCACACCAAACATTCAAGGGTTTAAGAAGCATCGCTGGATCAGGATGGCGTGGTGCAGCGGACCTTCCAGGTGCCAAAGCAGCGTACTGAGCACATTGCGCGGGACCTAGTGGGCCTTTAATGTCTGGTTGTAGTGGATGAGGAGGACTAGGGATCTCATCTCTTCTGGCGGCTGGAGATTCTTGTCATTTCTTTCAAAGTATCAAGTCTAGGTTGAAACTTGATATGTGATGATGTTCGCTCACTAGTGTTTGATGGGTATTTCCAGAACAAAGCTAAGCCCTTCATGGTCTATTTGGCCCAGGTCGTTTGATGACAGGCTGGATGGGTTACAGCCGGTTGGCAAACTAGTAACTGATCCGCGAAGGATCCATAATTGCAAAAAAAATCAAAAAACAACATGCTGTTTTGAATGTAGTATGCTTGAACATATTTGAGCCAATATCAACCTTTGAGACCGGTTGGCGGTTTCAAATATATATCTATTTCCACCCCCTAGGTGGCCGTGGGACTTCCGATCAACTACGTATATCTAGTCTGTTGAAGGTAGGTTGAAGCCACTTAAGATTTTCAGTCTTAGTTACTTAGTTTCAACCTGAACCTGAGAGCAGGGGGCCCAAGGCCAAATAATTATAGAATTCACAACTTGGACAATCATCCCGCCTATGAACTCACGAGAAAAACAAGGCAGTTTGAGGTTCAACCTTTGGACCCTCAACCTTTGGACCTCTACTGACCATGCCGTCTAGGCGAGCACAACAAATTGAACATGAGGAAGTAGAACGTCTCGCTGCATGCCCGTCAAAAAAGAAGAAGCGGCTTGGGTGGATGGGAAAATGATGGGAAAAGGATGGAAAAGGATGGAAAAGGGCGCTTATTGAAAAACGACTGGAATTGGACCTGATTCTGGTATGATTTTGGATGGTCTTGGCATGTTTTGGCTATAGTTGGTTTCAATGAAGTAGTCAATGAGGCAGTTCATTCGGCCTTTTCAAAGAGGGTAGAGCTGTCCTTCCCAGCTATCCCATCTTGCGCCTTCTGCCTTGCCATTTTTCGAGGTCAAGGCTGTTTGTGCCCAACGCTTCAGCACCGACCTGCATCTAGGTTCAGGCGGAAGCGGGGTTGGTGGAGTTGAACGTGCAGGAAGCAGTGGCCAAAACCCCTCAGGATGACAGTGCTTGATGGGGGGTAACCTTGTTACTTTCCCAGTGACCTTCAAGCTGTTGATCTCCCAGGAGGTGGGTTTTGGCTGCGTCCTCAGTGCTATAAACGATTTTGGTTGGAACAGGCTGAAGGGCCAGGGTGCCATCTACAGGTTCTACAGCTGCGAAGTTCAAGGTGAAACCTGGATCTTTTGGGTCTGCAACAAGCCAACTGTCCTGTCGGATTTAGCATCAAACAGCCGTGTTTGAGGCCGTTTTCTGCCATGACTCAGGTGGTTGGTGGAGCCGCCGGAAGAGGAAGAATGAGCGGTGTGACCACGTTGGATTGCTGGAAAAGAAGTTTGACTCAGATCAGTTCTGGGCACAGTTTGACTTTACCACGACCTCACCATAAATGACGATTAATTCGTATGGGAAATCGTCTCCAAGATGCGTTTGGGAATGAAGGTCTTCCAGGGCGATGAGACTTGTTGGATAGGATGAGGCAAGCTCAGTGGACAAATGTGGACAAGCATCCATGTGCATTTCATGTTTCTTGCACAATTCAATTTTCACAATTTGCAGTTGGACTTCCTCTGCTGGTAGTCGGTAGACGTACGATTTTGTTTCGCTCCAAGAAACCTGAGTGGATCCTCTTAAATTTAACCTACAGAAATAGGTTGCTTCAGCTTTCCTCCTTCAACTTCATGCATGTGCCTCGCTGGCCGTGTCGTGGCTCTTTGAAAGCCCAGCTATCGCGGACAGCCCTTCTCACGTGTGACTGGACCTCAGTGTGATGCATTCCGGAATGCACTGGATTGGGGGGCCACTGATCTCTAGAAATCCTTTGAATGGCAAGGACAATTATCATTTATCATTTATCATGTTGCATTTTGATGAAACTTTTCAGCCGAGGCAAGGGGCGGGCAGCCCTTTTTTTTACTTTATTTGCAGGCACTGGCTCCCACCTGCAGGTTTGCTGTCGGGATCTGTCGGGTGTGGTGCTGTGACAAGACTTTGACAAGGGACCGAGGCTTTAGCCCAAAGGAAGACAAAGGAAGTAGGTAATGTCAACCCTGGATTAATAAACCCTAGGTTGTTTAATTGGGGGGGATTCCATTTCAGTATCATATTGTGACTATTTGGAGGGTACCCCCACAATTAATAAACCATGGTTTATTAATCCGGAGTTGACATTAAGCTACAGAAGATGTTGTACAGCCAGCAGATGTTGGACGTTTGAACGTGCTTGCAAAGAGACCTCCCTGCAAAGAGAGAACATCGTCGATCCATGTGTAGACCGGAGAAAAATCAACTTGACGAAGACATTTGTTGGCACATTTTGGGTGGTTTTCTACCATGGACCATGGTTGTCATTTGATTGATAAATATTGATCATCTGATCATTGTTGGTAGTACTTGGGTGATTGCATGACATGTGTCCTGGTTGTTGAAACTGACTTTAATTGCAAGCGATCACGTTGCTTCGCCGCTTCCGCAGCCTTTCTTTGAATTGGCTTCAGCTGGTCGTTGCGCCACTACTTGACCCTGGTGCAGCATGGAGGCCTGTCATTGCCTGTCATTGCGGGTGAGGAGAGAAGCTCCTGATGGCCCGAAAATGAGAAGACATCTGGGTAAAAACTACTGGAATGATGGTTAGTATGGTTAGTATGTGGAATTATCCCAATACAGGATATGATATGATATGCACGCATATGCTCGTGAATTATCATTAAATTTACCCAGAGAAATGAAGGTGCTGATTCCAGGGACTGAGACGATCTTCGATGGATGATTTTGTTCCTTTTGTTGTGGGGACCGAGAGAAGCACTTCTCACTTCTTTCTAGCTTCAGAGGCACTGCTGGCATCCACTCTTGATATCTCTTGATGTCTATGTCTACATACAGTATGTTATATAATATTTATATTATATTTATTATAATTATATATTATCATTCAATATCCCCCATTTTATTCCGTGCTTTCTGGTTCAGCTCTTCAACAATCCCAAGACAAGCAGGCTCCATCACTATCATTGCATCGCTGCAGGTCCAGGTCTCTGACACCTTTGGACTGGAGGAGGATGTGCTTGTATCCATCCGCTACGGAACCGTCAGGCCGATGAGAACCGGGGGGCCGGAGGCAGCCGTGGCGGCCAAATGCAACAACCGTTTGGACATATTCAGACTGTAAAGAAGAGGCGATAAGAAAAACTAACTTGAAAAACGTGCTCTTGCCAATGAGATATTTTTAGACCTTCGTTATATAAATAATAACAGAAATATAAATAAATATAAACAAATATAAATAAATATAAATAAATATAAATACATATAAATAAATATAAATACATATAAATAAATATAAATAAATAAATATAAATATAAATATGAATATAAATAAATAAATAAATAAATAAATATAATATATATATAATATTACATACACAGTGAACTTGCCTGTTGGCAAGCACAATCTCCTATGCATTCACACTCTCGGATGCTTGCCACCGAGGCGTCAGGCGCCCCTGGAGTCTGTGAAGTCTCACCCCTTCAAATTCCCAGCGCAGCTGGAAGACCTCAGTGACTCGGGCCGTTGATGGGTGGGAGCGGGTTGCCAGTGGTAGGCGGATTATTCTTGTTGGGGGTTGAAACATGGATTCATTGATGATTGCAAACATTGGATGTGTGGGGCTTGGTAAGTAACTCAGACATTTCACGAACTTTCTTGATGTTCATTCATCACCTTTTCCCAAAGCGTCAAACATCAGATGTCAGGTTTTTTCATCAGGTGTAGTCCGTTAAACACCGCTTTCCATCATTTCCATCCCTAGATTTTTCTGCTGTCAGGAAACATCAGGGATGCCCCTACTGGATTTTTGAGGTGAACCTTTAAAGATCGACCTCCTGAAGCCGGTGGCATCGACCAGACTGGTCTTGCACCCCAAGGAGGACTGCACGACGGGACGGACGGGATGGGCGCTTGGTGCGATGGATAAGTGGCCTTTGGGCATGTGCTTAATATATGTAAGTCTAAGTTAGTATAGGATAGTATAGGTGGAGCCAATGAAGATCCATTTATGAGAATTAGGTTGCAGTCTTCACTCTTGATGACTCTTGATGTAAAACTTTGGGGAACGGCTTGCGATTTGGGGATCCCACCTGCTTGAAAGGTGAACTTCCAGCCCCAACAGAAGCAATTCCTCCCTGCTGCCTGTCCTGCAGGAGCACTACAGCATTGGTTTCGAACAAGACGACAGCATCGCCATGGGTTTGCACGTGATGGCGGGAGCTCCTGAAGCCTCTGAAACGAATGCGGGAGACAATGGGGCCTGGGTGGGTTAGGGTGCTGGAGGAAAGCAAGGGTGTTGGATGTTGTGTCAGGCCATATCACATGGAGTTTAGATGAGTTTGGAAGGTTTCGCGGATCTTCTAGGCTGATGTTTCAACAACGTGTGAAAATCTTACAGTCATTGATGGTTTGAACGTGGAGGATCTGCAGCTGAGAGGTCCGGCTTTGACCATTTGTGTTGTACATACCCTCTGGTTATTTAACATAGCCATGGGAAATCGCCCATAGAACTAGATGGTTTACCTATTAAAAATGGTGATTTTCCATGGCAAACCGTTAAATAACCAGATGGCAAGTCCTGGAACTTCAGGATGTGTCCCAGCCTCGGCGGAGCCAGGAGCAAAGGACGCAGGAGCCAAGGACTCTGCATCCTCTGCCAAGGACTACCTGGAACAGCACCTGGGCGTGAAACAAAGGTGGCGTCAGATGGGTTTTAACCATCCAACACGGGGATTGAATTTTATCCATAAAATTGGGTTTGTTCCAAGAACTGTGCATATTGTGCAGCAATTCATGGCAATTTTACTGGGGAAGGATTAGCCAGTGGATTTGCTGCGGCTATCTTTGGACAAGACCATGTGGAGAGATATGGATCAAGATCCTGGAACGTTGCAGCGCACTAGTGTTGGAGCTGTCTGCACATGTACACTCTTCACCCACATGGTGGGTTTTGTTTCTCACCACTGGCAACAATCGGCTGGCTATCCGAGGAAGGGCCTGCTGAAGTATGTCCAGTGCCTCTTGCACGCCGTCATCCAGGACAGCATGGGAAGCTATTGGGATCTATTGGGCACATGGGTAAGCAATGGTAAGCATGTCTAACTTTGATTGGCTGCCTCAATGAGATGGACACCTCATCAAAACAACATCCATAGCATCAATGGATTGGTTTAAGGGAAAATCTACAGGAAACCATGGACTTTCCCATCAAATATACAATCCATTGATAGCAATAACAACATCTCACCAAATGATTGATGCCGACTATCTCTTGGGTCCATCAAGCCTTTGGTGAGGACAAGCCTGCAGATCCGTTCCTCGGCATGATAGGGGCTGGCGGCTGGCCGTATCCGCGGTCCGCTGGTTTGGTAAGAGTTAGCCACTTGCTGATTGTGCTACCAGATTTCTCATTGCTTTCAGAGATTTATTATGTTTTATTCACATGTGGCCGCCACATGTCTTAGTTGGCAGGGATGATATTCAATATATAATATATTCAATTGATTCAGGATTAAGATGTGATGATGCAGTTTGACCGCTGAAGTGTCAAGAGAGAGCTGTTTGTGTTCATCAGCTCCTCGCTCTTTTTTGCGAGTCAACTGCTGCCATGGTATTTGTTCAGCCCGTTCCAAGGGGGCGTGATGGTAAGCACCGCTCAAGAATTCTTGTCTTACTGCTTTTTGCAGCTGTTCTGCGAGAAATGAGGGACATGACTAAACTCACCGGAGATCTGGCAGCACCAGAATGGAGCTTTGTCCACGGCCCATCGAGTTGGACATTGTACCGGAGACGGCAATTCAAGACATATTGCCATCAGATTGCCAAGGACGTTCCTTTGCCAACCCAGTTGCTTAGTGAGGCTGAGGTGAGGCACATCCACGCAGCCGTGCGCGCGAAGTGTTTGGAAGCCATTGCTGTGGGGAACCCGCGAGTTGGAGCTGATTTCGGCCTTGGATTTGGGGACGGTGCCCTGGAGTCTAGTGCCAATCAAGTTGAAGGAACAGATTGGCCTGCCATTGGAAGACAAAGGCATTGACTCCCTGGCGCTGAACCTATCGGTGGCGGTGCAAGCGAAGGATTATTCCAGTGGGAATTCGGTACCACTGAATCGCCTCACCAACTTCTATTTCATGGTGCAGGCGAAGGGTTCGCCCCTGAGGAAGTGGGTGAAGCAACTTGTGGTGGCAACCAACACCAGCAGCTCCCTGCCGCAGCAGTGGCAATGGAGCGAAGCGGTGCATCGCCAGTACACAGCAGACGAAATCGAGGCATGGCGCAGGAAGGCGCAGGTGGCACAGCAGCATGAGGCCAAACTCAAGGTGCATAAGACCAAGCTGAAGCGTTGGCCGCACCAAGTGGCATGCCTCAAGAAGTGTCGCACGTTTCTCAAAGACAGTTTGAAGCGAGATTTCTTTGTGCAAATGGCCACTGGTGCAGGGAAGAGCTTGGTCATGGCAGACATCTTGGCAGGCTTGGGTGTTGGCAGACGCGCCTGCATCATCGTGCCGAAGCTGGATCTGATGGAGCAATTGGCTCAACTTTTGGAAGAAACTCTTTCTGCTGCAGTGGCACGGGTTGGAACTCGACATCCTGCAGATTTGGGTGCGGAGGTCTTTGTTTGTGTCCGGAATTCGGCCTGGCAGTTGACCAATTTGTCCTTTGATTTGCTGATTTTGGATGAAGCTCACCACTACGAGCCTGAGCCAAGTACTACCGGCATGACAGCATCCGTTGATGCTAAGAATTGCACTGTTGGCATTCATGCTAGTCAAGTGTTGGCTCTGAATGCCGAGAAGAGGATTTTCTTCACTGCAACTTTTTTAAGGAATACACCCGACTTTGATTTCAGCTTGAGGCCTGCCGTTGAAGCAGGCATCATCAAGGACTATGCTGTCATGGTGCCTGTGCTGTCTGAAGGGGATCCTAGACCTGGATTGATTGAAATCATTCAGAACTTGCCGTTGTCGCGAAAGATATTGGCATTTTGCAATACCATTTGTGAGGCAAAGCATTTCACAAAGATGTTGTGTGCGGCTGGTATTCCTGCAGATCATTACAATGCTTCCACCACCACCTCACAACGGCAGGATATCTTGAAAAGTTTCCAGCGCAGTGAGAGGCAAGGAGGAATCCGAGTCCTGGTCACAGTGGATGTGCTGAGTGAAGGGGTTGACATCCCTATCGCGGACACCTGCTTGTTTGTGGCACCGAGGCGGGGGGTTCGGCTGCAGCAGTGTGTGGGAAGGGTGCTGCGCAATCACTCAGGGAAGGTTGATGCGTTGGTGGTTGCACCACCGGTGGTGCAACATGTCAACGGCACCCTGGCTGAAGATCGCGAACTTGAACGTTTGCTTGGCGAGTTGGCTCGCACAGACCATGTATTTCAAAATTCTCTTGGTGAGTGCGAGATGGTGCGCGGTCGCAGGGTGGGTGTCCTACTAGGACCTGATATACATTCCCAAAAAGACTTGATGGAAGAGGCTGCGAGGGTGCTACGAATATCTGTTTTTCCTAGTGCCCTAAAACGGCTTCATAGCCAGGAAGATTCCTGGGAAATCGGCTTTGCGCACTTGCAAGCTTACAAGGCAATGCATGGGCACGTCAGGGTTCCAATCAAATGCACCACAGCAGACGGCTTCAAACTTGGCATCTGGGTCAGCAAGCAACGTCAAGCAGAAATTCGGGCCAAACTCAGTTGCAAGCAGATGCTTCGCTTGGAAGAACTTGGATTCGTGTGGCGTGTGCGTCCGACGTGGGATGATAGCTTTCAGAAGCTGCAGGCGTACAAGGCAGAACATGGAAACGTGCTAGTGCCTTGGAAGTATCGGACTTTTGACGGGTTTGGTCTCGGTGCTTGGATGTACAAGCAACGCAAGGCAGAAGCTGAGGGCAAACTTCAGGCGGAGAAGATGCTTCGCTTGGAAGAACTTGGATTCGTGTGGCGTGTGCGTCCGACGTGGGATGATAGCTTTCAGAAGCTGCAGGCGTACAAGGCAGAACATGGAAACGTGCTAGTGCCTTGGAAGTATCGGACTTTTGACGGGTTTGGTCTCGGTGCTTGGGTGTACAAGCAACGCAAGGCAGAAGCTGAGGGCAAACTTCAGCCGGAGAAGATGCTTCGCTTGGAAGAACTTGGATTCGTGTGGCGTGTGCGTCCGACGTGGGATGATAGCTTTCAGAAACTGCAGGCGTACAAGGTAGAACATGGAGATGTGCTGGTGCCTATGAGGTATCAGACTTTTCACGGGTTTGGCCTCGGTTCTTGGGTCTGTAAGCAACGTCGAGCAGAAATTCGGGCCAAACTCAGTTGCAAGCAGAAGCTTCGCTTGGAAGAACTTGGATTCGTGTGGTGTGTGCGTCCGACGTGGGATGATAGCTTTCAGAAGCTGCAGGCGTACAAGGCAGAACATGGAAATGTGCTGGTGCCTTGGAGATATCGGACTTTTGACGGGTTTGGTCTCGGTGCTTGGATGTACAAGCAACGCACGGCAGAAGCTCAGGGCAAACTTCAGCCGGAGAAGAAGCTTCGCTTGGAAGAACTTGGATTCGTGTGGCGTGTGCGTCCGACGTGGGATGATAGCTTTCAGAAGCTGCAGGCGTACAAGGCAGAACATGGAAACGTGCTAGTGCCTTGGAAGTATCGGACTTTTGACGGGTTTGGTCTCGGTGCTTGGATGTACAAGCAACGCAAGGCAGAAGCTGAGGGCAAACTTCAGGCGGAGAAGATGCTTCGCTTGGAAGAACTTGGATTCGTGTGGCGTGTGCGTCCGACGTGGGATGATAGCTTTCAGAAGCTGCAGGCGTACAAGGCAGAACATGGAAACGTGCTAGTGCCTTGGAAGTATCGGACTTTTGACGGGTTTGGTCTCGGTGCTTGGGTGTACAAGCAACGCAAGGCAGAAGCTGAGGGCAAACTTCAGCCGGAGCGGAAGCTTCGCTTGGAAGAACTTGGGTTTGTGTGGCGCTCCGCTTTTTTGCGTGGAAAGAGGTGGGGCGCGAACCGAGGAAACGTTGTGAAGGAGATTCTAGGCATGAGGAGGGGCGCTCAAAAGGTTCCATCCTTTGGATTCTTTTGGGCCGGTACCCCATCCGTTGCCACATGTTGCTTTGTTTTTTAGAATAAGATTCTAGTAATTTGACACGAAACATTTCAGTCCCATTCCTTACCATATAACATTGGAGATCAACATTTGGCCGTCACTTGGCCGAGGTTCTCCTACATGATTGAGCAGCTAACGGCCGCACAGAGTTTCTTGGCTCTTGCAAAGAAATAGGGTGGGGACCGGGCACTGGCCAGTACGCTGGATGTACTGATGCTGGATGTACTGATACCTTATGCTTGATGGGTTTGTGATGCATTTTCATGTTTGCAGCGTTACTCTTTACACTATCCGGAATGGTGAACATGTTTGCAAACGTCAGCCAGGCTGCCACCAGTCAGTTCAATCCACACCTCTCCGCCGAAAAACACTGCCACCTTTCCAATGCATGTTCAGAATTCGCGGGTTTGAAACAGAAAGCCGACACCGTGAAACCTCCTGAATTTCCACACCAAAACAGCCGGCAGTCGTGGATGTTTTAATTCCCCAATGACATGGCATGATATGGCATGTTTGACTATTTGACACTAAAAATATTGTTAATCATGAAACATCACCTTTGTAGGTTGGTTGCTGTAGATCCACAAGCTATTCTTGAAATGTGAATCCGGTGAAATCATCTTAAATCCGTCCCAGCTGCTCAATACCCCCCAACTGCCATCATCACTGAGGCAAGTCCATGGCCTGCGAGCGCGTGATGTCGCGCCCCACCAGCGCCATGTCCCGCCCCACCAGCGCCGTCCAGCGGCCTCCGGGGAACCGCCCGCAGAGTGCCAGGCTGGGGCCGAGAAGCCATGCTGGTTCAGGGCCAGAAGATGAGAAGATGGATGGACCTGAGTTCCAAAAAATCCCAAGAAGTTAAACTGGATGTTTTTTTTTTTGGGGGGGTGAATTTATGTAATTAATGTCACAATAAATCGCATGCTACGCGCGCACACACACACTATGACTAATCATGTTGTAAGGGTTAGATTGTGCCAGGCAGTAGGCCAAATTCCATGTGGGTGACTCCTAATCAATGGATTGCCAGGCCGACTCCGCCCAAGCAAAAAATGGTTGCCCAAGCGCCACTGCCGAGCAAGGATCCTCCGTCCTTGCCAGCAGAGACGCTTGCCTGAGATTCTGGGAGGGTTTTTTCTGGTTGCCGGGAAGGTGTGCCCCTGGTGGAAGGTTTTTTTTGATTCTTTGCGCATGGCGATATAGGGTGGAGTAATTACACTGCACGATGATTTGATTGTTACAATATTATTATACTACTCATATATATATATATATCATACAGCATCTTATTTTGCAACATAAATCCAATTTATAGAAGACAATATCATATACAATCTGGGTAAATTAGTGAAATATTATAATTTACCCAGATACAATACTGATGTGATGTGGTTCACAGGTCCCAGCGCTGCCGAGGCCCATCTCACCCAAGGAGGAGCGACCCGTGCGAGAGTGGCCTGGCGTATCGTTCGTGGGTGGGTTGTAAAAATGTCGGTTCTCACTGGGGAAATACGGAGAATGATGGAAAGATATGGAACTATATATTGGATGTCAGTTAAACTATCTGACTACCTGAGTTTTTTAGACATGTTGGATCATTTTCGGATCCACTACTATTCTTTTTAGATTTCTGTAATGTTCCCTTGGTGCATTCATTCTGCTGCACCCATTGTGTCTCAGACTGAGGATCGAGCCGCGCCGAAAGGACAGCGGCCGCTGCTTGCATGGTGCTGGCCCAGTCAGTCATTCGTCAGATGGGACTGCGGTTGGCTCCTGTCAGGACCCAAAAGTGGAGGAAGCACTGCGGAAATGTGACCAAGGCAACTTGCCCAGACATACTGCTGTAAGGGAGGGCAAATGACATGCAAATGTAAGCAATGTGAACGGTGGCAACTTCAAAAGTCCATAAAACAGCCTAAAACATGTAAAAGAAAATATATAAACAAATGTAAATGAATGTAAAAGAACACGTAAAAAACACAACCCCCCCAAAAGGCCGTTGTCTCTAAGTGGAAGTTCCGTTCATCTTTGGATGTCATCCCTGGTTTAGTTTTGGATCTCTCGGTGTTGGGGCCCTTTCTTAAAGGGGGATATAACATTGGATTATACGGCCGTCATGCCACTCACACGTTGCGGAAATCTGGAAGTCAGGTGCAGATGCCAAGCAGGAATTGATGCAGAAGTTGCTGTCCGCCGCCGAATCCGGCAACCTGGGCGCAGCTACACGGCTGCAATATCTGCAATCTGTTGGTGGTACTGGAACTTGCCATAACCCAATGCATCCGGATTCGGCCAGGTACAAATATAAGAGGAAATCGCAACCAAATCCATTTACATCATATCATCTATGGGTGGCAATCTATTTATGTATCATATAAATTCATATGTGATATAAGTGATATATCGCAAAATTAACCAAACATCATCATCATCCATCATATGGGGGTTTCTTAAAATAGGGGTACCCCCAAGTCACCATAGGTTTCAAGGCTAAGTTATGGTCTGATGAGTCTACCCTATGGTAATTTAACATAGCTATTGAAAATGGCTATTTATAGTGGAATTTTCCATAAAAAATGGTGATTTTCCATAGTTTTTTGTATGTTTACCAGAGTCTAATGACTTGGATGATCCGCCGGGCTACCCTCCCCTCGGAACGCCAGGTCCTGTCCTCCGTTGGCTTGGACCAGAGCCGTCAGCGCATCCAAGGCCTGCTGGAGCAGTCTGCGAAGTCAGGAGCGACGCGGGATTTGTTGGTCCCACATGGTCCACAAGGGAGATGGAAAAGGAGGAAAAACAGGAAAAACCAGAGGATAATTATGGACAATTTGGATCAATTTGGTTTATAAGTTTACTTTACGCAGGTCATTCACTGTACTTTGAGTAGGAATCTTCATTTTGAGATTTTGGTTTAAGCAAGTTTGAAGGGTCCTGGAGTCCTGGAGATGATCGTGCCGTTGGCATGCCATGATCTATGTGTCAGGTTCCTGCGCTGTTAGGAGACCTGGAGGCAGCTCTCAAGATGGCCATGAACCAGAAGGAATTGGAAGTGCCTTGGTCCGATCAGTGAGACCTGTGCTACGTTTGGCCCAACCGCGGCGTGGCCAAAAAGCTATCTTCAAAACCCTTGGCAACGTAGGTGGGGATTCTGAGCTGATTGGGGACATTTCCTAACATCTAACTTGCATACACTCACAATATCTCACAATCCTTCCTATACGAATCAACCCAAAAACTTCACTATGTCCTACTGTACCATGTCCTACCCTCCTTTTGTTTGTTGCAGCATGTTGCAGCTTCCCCAACACCCCGCCCTTTGGAGAGTGCGGCAGCGTCTGAGGACATCCTGCGGCTGAAGACGGAAATGCGGCAAGTCCTCCAGGGCGCCAGCGATTCGGGGGCGATGAAAACGGTGCTGGAAGAGTGGCTCGGCCTGGGCCGAGGATGGGTGGCTACGGTCACGGTATGGAGGTTTTAAGATGATCATGGAAGCATGGTATTGAACATGTTCTATGCTTAGAATCTCTGATGATGTTCCCTTGGTTTGAATGATGATGGTGGTGATGGTGATGATGATGGTTTCCCTTCCCGTCGCTTGCTTCCTTGCAGCCTTCCAAGGATTTCTGGAGAGCAGAAAACCCAAAAGGTGCAAGGCGAGTTGCGGGATGCATTGTTTGAAGCCAACGAGTCAGGGAAGATGAAGCAGATCCTGGATGAGACCCTTGGCATTTGTTTTTGGGTTTAGATCTAATTACTCAAGACCCGGAAAATTGGTTTATAGCCGAGGCATGGGTGCCAACTGAAAAAAGGACTTGAAAAGGGCTTGCCGCTTCCAAATTCAGGTCTACTCCGCATAGCGGCCACTGGGTTTGAAGACTGGGCGCTGGTTTACTTGTCAACTTATGCATTTTCGCTCTTTTGAATTCCTTCCAAGATCATTTTCACATCTTCACCTCCGACTCCAAAACTCAGAAATGACCCACCTACACCCCATCCTCCACCCAGGATGGCGGCCCAGCGCGGCATTTCCCAAGCCGGAACGACGTCCAACGAGGCGGAGGAGCTGAAGGTCCAGTTGAGGGATGCCCTGCTGGACGCCAACGAGTCGGGCAAGATGGCGGAGGTCCTAGATGCGTCGCTCGGATGGGATGATGGGATGATGGGTGTCTTGTTGCTGGGATATATGGAACTCACTTTTTTTTTTGGGTGTGTGTTTGATGTTGGGGAATGTCAAATGCGGATTTTGTGTTCTCTGAATCATGGGGATACGTCCCTGACACTTTGGTGTTTTTTCACATGTTATTGTTATATTCTGTGTGTTGTTTGTTTTTTAAATGTAGATATAATCAATAATACCCCTAATTGAAGCCCTGCTTTAGTACGAAACCCGCACTTGTCAAACTTGTTGCAGGAAATTGTTGTGAGGATGGTGGGTTTGGGATATATGGACCTCTATGAAATTGTTGGACGATATTGGATCCCAACATGGTGGAGAGTTCTGAACGAACGACATATTCCACTCCGAACTTCCATCTTTCGGGCATTCAACGTTGCTTTTTCCAGTGGTACCCTCTGGTAAACTAACATAGCTATGGAAAATCATCATGTTTAATGGGAAAATCCACTATAAATGGTAATTTTCAATAGCTATGTAACAAATTACCAGAGGGTATGACTTAAGAAAACATCCCAGCCATGGCCAGGGATGCCCCAAATTTCCCATGCTGAGGATGGCCACGGAATCCCAGGTGCAAGCCGAGCTCACGGCAACTCGCCATGAAACCGTGCTTTCATGATTTAGATCCAACGTTACCCCATGCCCAAAGGCTGATTTGCTTCATTTTCTAAGTATTATACATATATATATACATATATACGTAGTTTGTTCTGGATCCCATGAACATCTCTGGTGGCAACCAATTTGGAAGCTGCCCATATTATCATCCCATAATAATTCTCCCATCATTTCCCATAGTTATCCTATATTTATCCCACATATGGCATGAATTTGACCACATCCTGATGTCCCAAATGTCCTCGGGGGCTGAGGATGTGATGAAGGTGAAGATGAAGCTGAAGGACGTCCTGGCCGAGGCCAATGATATCGGCAAGGTTAAGGAGGTGCTCTCGCAGCAGCTCGGCGGTTATTGCTTTCGCGACCTCTCCGCTGGTGGAGGGAGCTGTGAACGGAGCCGTAGTGGCATCCATACATGGGGATGGGTTATAAAATGTTATTAAAATACAGGTAAAGATATCTTTTTCCATATATTTTGGTTGGGATTAAACAATTCAAACTTATGTTTTCCATACATTTTGCGATGAACATCTATTTGCCAACTAGTTTGGTGTGAAGAGAAGGGTACGATGGTTTTGAGCCAGAGCCATCTTCCCGGTAAGAAATGGGGGGCCAAGCACCAATGTTGCACCATAAGTAAGGATCCACAAGGTGCCTAAGGAGTTTGGTGTAACCATATATTTCGCTTGATTATGGTTATCAACTTGTAACTTGTATGGTGTGGTTTTGTATGCTGGATAGATCTTGAAAGTCTCAGTCAAGCTGCAGGCTACTTTTGTTTGAACCAGGATGAAGATCCCAGAAATGGTCAAACATCTACAAACAGTGCACTCCCATAATTTCGCACGGCACTGGGCAGGGCCAGAACTGTGCCAATTTTTGATTGTTGTTTATTTATGTTTATCTTGGAACACGGAGCTTCCAATCTATTCTTGGGTGGGCGTGCCCATACTAGCCCATTACCGACCCACAGTATCTTACGTATTATGTCCTTACCCTACTTTTCTTTCCAAAATGATACTTAGAGTATCTTAGTGGAATGGTTATCTCTTCTTTCTTCTCCTTATCATAATTCTTCTCGGATAACCATCCAATCGCATATAAATCAAAGAGTTCAACTCGGCTCAGGATGGTCAAGGAGATGCCTCCAGCCGCACCCTCTGCGGCACCTCGGCTGCCTGATTTGGGATGGCCAGGGCGCCAGAAAATTCCCATTTTGGCCTACTGGGACACCATGATTTCGCAAACTATTTAAGAACAGAATTGGCTTGACATCAACCAAGCATTTGAACAACCGTCTGTGGATTTGTGACATTTTTTTTTGTACATTTCTAATCATGTTCAGATCCAGACATTTAACCATCTGTGGATTTCTGATTTTTTTGGTTTCTCCACATGTTGAACCCCCTCCCTTGGCTCCCCAAGGAAGACGAGCAGGTCCTGTCAGAGCTCCGCGGCCTGCTGATGGACGCCAACGACTCGGGCAAGCTGCCGGAGGTCTTGAAAGAGAGCCTTGGCAAAATGTCGGGAAGGTGGGGAGGTAGAAGGGTGAAGAACCTGAACACATTTATATTTGCAGATAGATCGATAGATAGATAGATAGATTGATTGATTGATTGATTGATTGATATATACGTAAAGGTATAGATATGGAAATAGGTATACTTACTATTTATGTATTATCATTTATCAATGTATTTTAATGTATTTTATTACATGAAGGACATTATTTTATATACCATGGTGGGGAAGAAAACACTTTTCCCGTTGTTTGCATGCTGGTCCATGCCCCAGTCCCAGGATGTCATCCAAAAAGACGGCAGCGTCAGGCCCCAGCTCTTGTGGCACATGGGGTGGTTTTCTTCCATGATGCTGCAAGATGTCCTTGTTGGAATGGCATCTAAAATTATTGGACACACATTTGAGACATTGGAGACGCATTTTTTTAACACCCTGGATGCGCAACTTTGGACATGGAAAGTGTCAAAGTGTGGCGGAATTTCACCCATCCTGCAGGAGCTGCAGGGGCCAAGGAGGCGGCTCCAGTTTTGATGGCGGGAGCTGTGAATATCATCCTCCCAAGCCAAGTTGCCAAGGGGCTCTTAGACTAAGAAGCACGGCAATATATTTTACATTATTTATAGATGAGTAGCTACAGCAATAGTTGAACTAATTAGTAGAGGGTCTTTTTGCTAAATGTTCATGGCCGCGTTCTGATGTGCTGGCTTACCTGAACTAGAAGCATGAGTAAAAATCTACTGGTTCACTAAGTCCACGAGAACTGGGCTGATCTCATCCAATCATACTCTTAGTATGGAAATCCACTGGTTTTCACCACCAGTTTCCCAGTACCAAAACACATTGTGGTGGTGTGCACATGTGTGCACGGTGTACCCCATTTCCAGATGCACCATGCTGGATTCTCATCTGCCAGGCCGCCGTACCTGTGAAGGTTGCCGAGAAGTGGCTGGGACCGTTTTTGGTGACCGCACTTCCAAGGGCGGATGGAAATGGATGGAAGGTGGTTGATGGATATTTCGGATATTTGATGGATTTCCATGGATTTCCCATCGCCTTTTTCGTTTACTCAGAAAAATGTGGCAATGATAGTCATGACTTCGGATTTTTGATTTGCATAACCGCGGCTTTTTTTTCTGCACCTTAAAGTAGCTACAAGTTGTTGTGCTGGAACCATGATTGCAAACCACGGTTTGTTGTCAGTTCTGAATGATATTGGAACGATGATCAACTGGATATGAATAACTATTGCGATAAGTCATTGTGTTGTTCTTCACAAGAGGAGTCAACGAGCAGCAATAGGCTTGTTCCAGTTGGGCGACTGCTATGTTCATTGTAGTTATATAGCTAGGTAATATTTTATAAATTATACAGGTATATATATATATATTATACCCCGATCTATTTCCTTGATAGATCCACGTGAATTGTCAATGAAGCGGCTGTGAATGGGTTCCTTGGCCCACGCTTGACCGACGCCCAGGTCTGACAAAGGCGCGAAGGTCAACAAGGCCATCCTGGATGCCGCCAAGAGCGGGAAGTTGGAAAAGGCCAGCGGCATCCAGCGGCATCATATCCAACTAACCATATTAAATGGGACAAATGGGCATATTCCTGGGATATTATGATGTTTCTGGGATGTGTGGCACCAACTATTGTTGAAATGACATGAGTTATCATCATGTTGAAGTTTGGCAAAGCATCATTTTTATAAACATCATCAAACTAAATAGACTCAACGGGCCATGGCCTTGGCATATTAATTAGTGGAATGTATGACCCCAACTCTGATTCACCATCCAGTGGTCAAGAGGGAGAACGGAGCTATGGGCATCCAGTGATTTCGGAATGGGGAGATAGTTGGAGCTATTTCCATGGACTTTCCCAAGCACATGATAGGATAATATAGGATGATATCACAAAAAATACAGTCTTGTTGTAGTCAATATATAGGTGTGGATAGATAGGTAACGGATAGATCAACAGGCAGGTTCTGAGAGAATCTGAGAGATATTACATGATATTACTACTTCCAACTTTTGAAAACATGGGAAACTGGGCAATGATTGGGAGATCGGCCCAGAGATGGATGGATCAGTCAAGACAACAGCGACCTCAATTGACCTGGCCATAGATGATGGTCACTTTTTTCGGACACATCAATGTTCAAGTTGGGGAGCTCTCCAAAAGGTCCAAAAGCGTCCAACCATCAAAAAAATGCTGTTAAAATGTGTCAGACTCAACCTTTGAGAAACTTCTTTTCAATTGAAATTTCAAGAGTCTCAGAAATCACTCGCGAATAGCCCAGATTTCCAACATCTCTGAATCTAATAAATATCATATCAATCCAGATCATTAAAATTATATATAGACACATGGATCGTATCATATCCATACATGAACGTATCATACATCCCATCCCATCATAATCCCATCATAATCTTATCATAATCCCATCATAATCCTATCATAATCCTATCATCATGTATCACCATGTATCTAAGGTCATGAAGTTCTCATACATCCCCACGCCTTGTGCCAAGGTCCTGAACGACATGCCGGCCGAGCCGTCCCTGGAACCTGTGGCCGCCGTGCCGGCCACGCCGGTGCAGTCGCAGGAGGTGTGGAGCTTGGGATCCATCAGACATGGCGGATTTTACCGGGAAAACATGGAGATTTTATCATCAAAACCTGGATTATTCGGCTATTAAAACTAGATATTAAGTAGATGTAAATATTTAAGAACTATAGTTCAAACATGAGCAAGTGTGAGCATTTTAAGCATGAAACAAATGTTTTGTAGCCAAACTTTGTTTAACAAATCAAAATCGGATTTAAACGCCAGAAAATGGTATCTTTCCATTTTGGAATGCCAAAATCTGACGTATATTTGCACCCATGCCTACACACTTGTGCCGAACTCTAGCAAGTTGAGGCCAAGACTCTATTCCAGTCTGTTTTATCGAACTTTCAAACATGGATAGCTTAGGATTGAACATGATCAGATTCACTGACTCTGTTCCCCTCCGTCCAATGGTCCCAACGTTCCACCCGCCTTCAGTCTCAGGTGGAAGCCTTGCGAGAGAACATCAGGGCGAAGGTGGAGCAATCCTTGGCCAATGGCGTTCTGGAGCAAGGCCCGCAGGTGATAGGCCTTGAGGCTTTCCTCCAGATCCATCCAGCCGCTGGTTGGTTGATACACCTAGTACCGGGCGATTTCGACATCCGCCGTGCCATGGGTAGGATGGGTGAACCAGCCATGTGGATTTTGGGAAGTAATTTCTGGGTCTGGCGGCCGTGTGCTTCAGGGGTTCAGTCACAGTGCTCCAGCCGTAGGCCTCGTCACCTTGCAGCGCAAGAAGTCTCAAGAGCCCGGTGGCCCTGCAGCCCCAGCAACCACAGCACCAGCTGCACAGCCCGCGCAGCCTGCCCCAAAGTCGCCCACGGCAGAGCAAGAGGATCTGAAGAAGTTGGGCCAAGAAATTTGCAGCTTGGCCATCAGATTTGCTTGTGGATCAATACTGCTAAATTTAAATCCATCTACAGTAAATACTATTTTAAGCGGGATGAACATAATTTTGCCAGCTATTTGGATGTTCATACAGGTCTTGATTCACAACCATTTTGGATCCAAGATTGGGTGGTAAAAAAGTCATCTGGAAAGGGCCAGGGTCAAGCTCAACAGGTGGTGGAGCTTGGAATTTCTAACACATATCCTCAGCAGGTTGTCACCTCGCCCAGGTGGCGTGCTACAGGAAGCGTCCAAGAGCGGAAAGCTGGATGAAGCTTTGGAGCTCCTGAGACAAGAGAAAGAGGAGGTGGTGCAGGCGGCTCCTGAGGCAGGTTCTGTGTGATGGTTGGGATGGGGTTGGGGCCCCCAACGGTTGGGGGCTGGATGTAGGGATGGGGTATAGACACCTGCCATTTGAATAGGGAACATTCTGATTGGGGTAGGACGAGATGGAAGCGGTGCGCAACAACCTGAGCTCCCTGATGAAAGATGCGCCCCGGCGATCACCAAAATAAGAGCTGCCACTGGTCCAGTGGGAAATATAGAGCTTGGAAAGATGTCAAGAAATCTGTTGACAGGTGAATTTGCGGGGATTCTTTGAAATTGGCAATTATATAATGCGTTTGCTGCCTGCCCGATGTGAAAGTGGAGGCTTTTTTTGGGTTTATTAAGGGATGAGACAAGAACTTTTGGCAGATCTTCACCTGGAAATCTGTGAGAACCATTCCGTTTTCGGGTTGTGTTGCATATACCCTCCGGTATTCAAACATGGCAATGGAAAATCACCCATTTTCAGATGATATTCCCAGCTATAAAACCTCCATTTTAGTGCGGGAATTCGCAGCTGGCCATGTTTGACTAGCGAAGGGTACCATTGTCACTTACTGTCATTATTATTTATAATAATTATATATATATACTGTATATATTATTATTCATTTTTATATAATAACTATTATTCATGCACTAGTCATTATTAACCACCACTAACCACCATGAACAACTGGAGGGTAGTCGTAAGTTACCAAAGATCCCACATGGACTGCCCTGGAACTGAGGCCCTGCTGACTGGTCAGCTGGCGACGGCCCTGGAGGAGTTGAAGACAAAGTCGGAGGAGCCCTTGCGTGTCACCGATATCCACGCCATTAAGGCGCGGTGAATCTCCAAGATGCTAACTTAGCTTGGCAAAATTGGTCTATAAACATCTACAAACCAATCGAATTATAGATAATTATAGATACGTATGTATATATAAATATATCAACTATAACCAACTAGATAGATAGAGAATGATAGAGAAAGAGAGAGAGAGATATATATATATATGCACACAAATATGCATACATATCTACCATGAACGTTGGTAAATCTATATATCGGTAGAAACCAACTTTGCGAAGTCGGGGGCGCCAGGGTTTGGGGAAACAACAGGGACTTGAACAGCTTGGGTGATTGGTCGGTAAATGGGTCTGTCCGAACATGGGATACCCAGAAAATGGTAATTTAAAATGGGTGTGGAATGATGATGAACCATCAAGTTTGGGCTTACCCTATTGACTTCAAAGGGACACACAATCGAGCATGATTAATTCGTCAATAAGTAATAAATGAATTATCATTCCATAATCAATAACCTATCATGGTAATTCATTAATGTTGTTAATTGACCTGTCATTCATCACAAAGTAATAATAATAGTAGCAAGAACAACAATAATAATTCTACCAATTAACAATGATTTGATATTTTATAGATTTTATAGATAGATAGATTAGATTAGATTAGATTAGATAGATATATATATATATATTCATATAAATGAGTACAGTAATAGAATGCTATGGATGAATACAACACTAATCACCGGTTCCCCCACACATCCATGGCCAGGCCAAGTTCAAGAAGCTGCTGCGGGAGGCCTTGGAGAAGGGCATCTTGGCCTCCAAGGTCGGGATGCTGAAGCTGATCCCCAAGGCGGAGCGGAGCGTTTCGGGCCGTGGGCCGTGGCTCGGGGGCTCTACCGGGATCCGGTGGAGTTTCAAAGTGGATCTGAAAAAAACACCTGGACTGAGATGTTTTTTTTGGGATTTACGTGTTTTTTTTTGAAAATAAAAAGTTAATATGTTGGAAAAAAATGGAGGTGAGGGTAGATGTGATCACGCCAAACACAAGGACAACTTGGACGATGGTAGAAGTGAAACCACCTCAGCTTCACAATCTCAGGACTTGATGGTTTGATTCTGAGCAGTAGGAAAGCCGATGGGGCACGGAGCGTTCCTCTTTTGTAGCATTTTGTGCCATCGTGAATCTGGCCGATTTTTTGAAATGCAGTATCAATCTGCTGGTGACCTTTTAGGTTTCTTTAGGAAACACATGTATTTTTGAACCAACTCTAGTTGGATTCATTGGGTTCCTTAGATTTTATCTTAGAGTTCTTGGCATCTTCGAAATCATGTACCGTACTTGGATATATAAATATAAATATAAATATATATAAATACAGACATATACATACATATACATATGAATATACATATGAATATACATATATACATTGAGGACCAAACAGTATATACATACATATACATACATACACATACATATACATATACATACACACACATACATATACATATACATATACATACACATACACACATACACACATACACACATACACACATACACACATACACACATACACACATACACACATACACATACATACACATACATACATACACACATACACACATACACATACATACACATACATACCCATACATACACATACACATACACATACACATACACACATACACACATACACACATACATATACATACACATACACATACACATACATACATAGATATCATAGATACATACATGGATACATACATAGATACATACATAAATACATAGATACATACATACATAGATACATAGATACATACATACATACATAGATACATAGATACATAGATACACACATACATACATAGATACATACATAGATACATACATAGATACATACATAGATACATACATAGATACATACATAGATATCATAGATACATACATAGATTCATACATAGATACATACATACATACATACATACATAGATACATAGATACATAGATACATAGATACGTAGATACATAGATACATAGATACATAGATACATAGATACACACATACATACATAGATACATACATAGATACATACATAGATACATACATAGATACATACATAGATACATACATAGATACATACATAGATGCATACATAGATTCATAGATTCATAGATACATAGATACATAGATACATAGACACATAGATACATAGATAGATAGATAGATAGATAGATACATACGTACATACATACACATACATACACATACATACACATACATACACATACATACACATACATACACATACATACACATACATACACATACATACACATACATACACATACATACACATACATACACATACATACACATACATACACATACAGACACATACATACACATACATACACATACATACACATACATACACATACATACACATACATACACATACAGACACATACACACACACATACATACACATACATACACATACATACACATACATACACATACATACACATACATACACATACATACACATACATACACATACATACACATACATACACATACATACACAGACATACACAGACATACACAGACATACATACATACATACATACATGCATACCTACCTACCTACCTACCTACCTACATACATACATACATACATACATACACACATACACACATACATACGGACAGACGGACAGACGGACAGACGGACAGACGGACAGACGGACGGACATACCTACATACCTACATACCTACATACCTACATACATACATACCTACATACCTACATACCTACATACCTACATACATACATATACATACATATACATAAATATACATACATCTATATATATAGGTATCTCATGCAAAATGCATGGTTCTTGACTCATCCACCTCTGCCGTCCCACAGGCACCTCCACCCCCAACGGAATCACCACCTGATGAGATGGACGTCTTGAAGCTGCACCTCCGTGAGGTGGGACATGGTGGGACGGGGATGGGGATGGACTCAGCTTTCCGTCAGATGGATCATATATGAATATTGTACAACTCATAAGAATCATAGTGCTGTTACTGAGTATGTCTATGTATGTCTAATATATCATAGAATCTATGAGACTTTGGTGCGGTGCAGTATCATATGTCGAATATGGGGATGGATCAGACCCTGTTAATTACATTTAATTACTATATTTTGGGTAATAAACATCCATTAACCAACAATTTTAGGGTACCTAGGTACCAGAGTGTTGACCCATAGCCATATCGATTATCATATACCATATGCCAAGTATCAGACTATCATATATACAATCTTGGTAGTCATATATAACACATCATAAATCATAAATCGTATTTCACATATCATATTATAGATATTTGTTTCTTTGCTTGGAACTTGTGGAGAGCAAGTAATGTGTTGATGCCAAAATGGCCATGCCATTTTGGCTCAAGCTGTTCCCCCTGCGATCCAATACTTTCGAAAAACACGTTCCGATCTTCTTGTTCTGCCTATGGCGGCTTCTAGTCCAGTTGCTAGTGAGACTGGCACCGTGGGCTCCTTCTCGCTGATTGGGACAGATATGGACGCAGGGGATGATTAAATGGTGCTTTCCACCCAGGTGACCGAGGCTGCGCCGGCCGAGGTTACGACAGAGTTTGAAGATGATCCCGCCATCACCAAGGAGACACTGGCTTCGCAGCTCCATGAGATGGAGAAAGTGATGGCAAACTTGGGCTTGGAACCCAAGCCGGAGACGAGTGTAGAAGTGTCAAGTGGGCAACCCCCGTCGGGTTTCGTCCATGCAGAGGCACAGACTCCGGCCCAGACACTACGGGTCTTAGAGAAGGAGACGTTGACGCTCCACATGGATCAGACCACAGAGACCTTCACCATCGAAGGCTGGGCATCCTTGATTCCGGCCCTGCCTCACTCTGCTGCCAAGTACTTCAGAGACATTACGCATGGTGAGTTGCGTTCCCTTTTGGACGCTTTCCGCAGTTCTCCGTGGACGGCATCCCTGGTGGTCAAGATCGCAGAGGTGTACCACATCTCGAAGCGCGAGGCTGTCCACACACAGATGTTGAAACTCCGGCACACCACGCAGCGTGGGGGATCCATGGTGAATTTGAAAGAGAAGGACCCTGGAACTTCTCCGCAATTAGTTTGTTCTGATTGCAATGCACCGTGGGGGCAGTTATCCAAATGTTTGCTTTGTCAAGGCTCTCAGCCTGTTGACCTGTCAATGACACCTTTGTCAGTGATTGAGGTGGCCGGCCAGTCCTGGCAACTTAGGCTTACTGAGGCGGGACCGACTTGGGTTCCCACAGATACTAAGGTTACTAAGGCCTCAGGCTTTGTGGAAGTGGGAGATCTTGGCCGACCTCCCCCTGCGGCAGCTTCGGGCGCCGGTACGGGGCTGGTCAGCTTTTCGGAGCAAGTTCCTGCCTCCCAGCGCATGACACTGCAGCAGCACGTGGTGGCCTTCGGGCAGGACGAGATCTTTCATCCAGATGGCGAACGCCCCCCCACTATGGATGATCGAGACTCTACTCAAACTGCGGTGATCTTTCATCCGAAGACCATTGAACTGATGCGCTTCAAGGTTGACTTGCTGGCAACACCAGAAGAAGAGCTCACAGAAGCGGCACAGGAGGCCAAGAGGAGGAAGAAGGAGATTCAGCATCAGCAAGAGACTGTGGCGATGGAAGATGAGCTGCATACACTGACTGCCCTCCAGCAGGGTGCACAGGAAACCCAGAATCCGGTCAGTGCCAAGATGCTTCGCCACGCTGACCTCCAGCAGTTTCGGTCCTACCTCAAAAGAAAACATGAAGAAAGTGGTCTCACTTCCTCTTACGAGGCTTTGGTGGCAGCACAGACCACACAGGAGAAAGCGGCGGCCGCCAACAAGGCCCTGGACACAGAATTCAGAGACCGTCGCAAGGCCCTCAAGCCCATTGAAGTGGCGTCCTTTTCACTTTGGACCCCGGCTCTGCAAGAGGCGTGGCAGAACAATCTCTTCGCGCCGGCCATGGGACCGCAGGGACCCGAACAATTTGACATGGAGGCACTCAAGCAACCATACCTTCGAATGAAGGAGCTCATCAAGGATAACAAGCCTCCGCTCTCCCAGGACCGCCTCATGACGGAGTTCCCTAAAACTCAACTCGACATGTACACCACGGGGACGGAGATGATATCTTCCCAAGAGGCCCAGTTAGCACGACTCCTCCCGCCTGACAGCCTTGAACGCAAGTACGGGTGAAGTCAGAGCCTGGGGCGGAGAGTGGGAGCTGCGACAGGGCCCGCTCACGGCACCTGCCTGGGCAAAACCGGCACCTACGACTGAGGTCTTGGCTTTGGAACTCAGGACAAACCCGCTGGGCACCTCCTTCTACACGCCCAAAACCTACACCGAACAGGTGGTCCTGCAACAGATTGCCGATGGCAAGCGACCCGACCTGGACAAGATCATTGGCTTCTTTTGGGCCCCGGGGACGGCGGTAGCTTCTGGCACCGACGATACCCACCTGGTTCGAAGGGTGCAATCATGGGACCTTCCCTCCATGATCACGATGCTTGGACAGTCCTGGACGTTCAAGGAGATCTACCAGGCTTGGTGTGGCATGCCGCTGATCGTCAAACCGATGCGCAGAGGGCATGGGGAAGGCATCCGCCAGAAGAAGGTGGCAGAGTTGGCGGCACACCGGCAGAGGACTTCAGAGATCAAGTCCTTCCTCACCAGTGTGGGCCTCCGGTTTCCCCAATCACAACATGAAATCAAGCTGCTCTACAAGGAAATTGGCAGCTTTTTGGCTGCCTCGGTTTTCTTAGCCAGAACCCCAGCGGTGGTCTTGGACTTGCCCGAGCAGGACATCCAGGACACAAAGGAGCAGCTCCGTTTTCGAGCGGTTTGTGATGAGCGCATCACCTTGCCCTTGGATGCTTTCAGGCAGCTCCCGGACGTTTTCCAGGCGCTGTCAGCCACTCTGGGGGCCCACAGCATGGTGCAAGTGCAAGTTGCCTGGCGGTGCAACTGTGAGCTATGGTGGGTTGCCCTGGTTCCCCATGAGAAGGCGGAGAGCTTTTATTGCCGTCTGGGCTACTCCCAGGCAGAGATTGATGGCTTCCTGAAGACTGCACTGGAGCCGGAGGCTCTGCGGGCGACTACGGTAGCTTCGGGCACCGGTAAGTACCCCGAGCTCTCCTTGGAAAATGTGGTCTCCATATGCAGCCCCAAGTACAAGCGGGAGCACTATGGCCACCGTGGAGTCCATGCCTTTTGGGGCCGCACCGATTGCGGGCTCATCCTCAGCAGTATGAGTCCCTGGGAACTGAAGACGAAAGAGGCTGGAGTGACTCGTGGAGGCTGGGTCTGCAAGGCCTGCCAGGGCTTTTGGAGACAAGGCAAAGGAGCTTCCCGCTTTGTCCAATTGCTTGGAGAGCACCGGGGAGTCAAAGTCAACCTCCAACTGATTTTGGACGAGCCACCTCAACAGCTGTACAACAGCTGGGTGAAGTCCAGGCTTGAGTATTACAAGAGGGTGGAGCCGACTGCGGCCCCGCGAGATGTGGCATTGCATGTGGACCCTGACCACACCCAACGCTTGAAGTTTTCTTGCCAGAATGGCAATGCCAATGTTTCCAACGCCATTTGGTCGGTCCTTCTGAGCAACCCGGACCTCGAGGGCCTTCAGAAGATCAACGCGCTGGCAGCGAGCAGAGTCCGGCCTGCCTGAGAGCGGAGTTTTTGCGAAGGGCTGTTTTACTGACCTGGTGGCCTGGTAGCGTCTTGCACCAACGTCACCACTCGGTTCTGCAGACACCTTCCTTTTTGTATGAATAGCATTGGTTGCGCACCACGACAAGGGCCAAGACAGGGGCCAGACCGCTGGGATGCCAGCTCACACAGTGAAAAGGGAAACCTGCATGTGGCTGCCTCAGAGTCATTTACAGCATGTTGCTTTTTGAACATTGCTGAGTTTACCATGTTTTATCTTGGTTGATGTTATTGGTATCCTTTCGGGCTTCGCCCATTACGCTGATGTGACTGATGTCCATGTGGCTTGCACTCAGTTCTGTCCTGTTGCAACTCTGATGGTTTTTCCTAGGCTTTCTGTGTTGTTATTCCAGCTTGCTCTTTTCACGTGTTAGTGCTCCGCACACCCGCAGTACCCTCTTTTGGGCCAGGCTTGGCCATAGTAGAGTCGGGACATCATGGAACCCGATCTTGTGCGTAGAACACCTTTTGGCCTGGCAATGGTTCGGCTTCCTGAACACATGCGAGACAGCCTGCTGGACCATGGAATTTTTCCCACACAAACGGAGGGGGAGTTGTTCATGCAGCTCTGCATGCAACAAGTGCCACCGGACCATCCGGAGGCCATGGATGGGGGAACCTGGACCTCTCGGGTACACCCCAGCAATGACATCGACCCAATGAACGTGGCTCACAGTAACTCCATGATGGTGGCTACCACGCCCTGGATGGAAGACTTTGTGGCAGACTGCATGAACCGGGTGCCACAACCAGCGCCCCCTGAAGAGAGAGATAGGACCTATGATGCATGTTTTAGCCTCTTCACTTTGATTGCGGGTGCACCAGATTCAGCCTTCCACACACCCCTTCAGCAGCAACAGGAAAGCATGGACCGGGCTAGATGGCGAGCCTTTCATGCACGGCCTCCCATAATGGCCATTGTGGAGGCCAAATGGAGGCACTGGATGCCTGGGCGACTCAAGGAAGAGTCGGCTACAACCCAAAGGAAGTTAGAACTCCACCTCAGAGACCGCTGGGCAGAAAGGATCATTGGGCTCCTTCTGCCCTTTGCCAAAGACATCCCTTACCTGCATGCGGTCCACGGGGACAATGTTCACCAAGAGTACTTGGACCTTCTGGGAGACACCAGGTTCAGGACCTTGCGTATTCATTGCCTTTGCTTCGAGAGCATCCAGAAATTGGGCTTCAACAC